CCTCTTGTTTGTATTAAATCTGATACCTATTAATTTCATTGGGTGACCCTTGGTTTTTGTATTATGTGATGTGCCAATAACGCTTCTCTAGTCACTTTTTCTACACCATTTATGATTCTATAGAGCTCTGTCATTTTCCCCTGAGTCAGTGGTGAGCTGGAGCCGGTTCGCACTGGTTCGCTGGAACCGGTTGTTAACTTTAGAGGCCCTTTTAGAACCGGTTGTCCCACGAGGGATAACCGGTTCTAAAAAGGCTCTAAATTTAACAACCGGCCAAAAGTGGTACCTTCGACACCAACTCCATGGTTGCTCTAGGGCTGGAGCACCCACGGGGAAAAATTGGGTGAGTGCAGAGCACCCACGGGCAGCTCCCCTCCCTGTCCCCATCCCTAGTTCACCTCCGCTCTGCCTCCGCCCCTGAGTTACGCTCCGCCTCGCTCTGCTTCTCCGCCCCCCGGCTTCCCATGAATCAGCTGTTCGCACGGGAAGCTGTGAGGGGGGGCTGAGAAGCAAGCGGCGGCTTCGCGCTCAGGCCCAAGGAGGCTTAGCAGAGGGTAGCTGGGGCGGGGGAGGAGGGCGCGAGGAGGGCCGCCTGTGCTGCAGCAGGTAACCCGGGGGTGGGTGGGGGAGCACAGGGGAACTGCTCCCCGCCCCAGCTCACCTCCACCTCCCTGGGCCTGAGCATGAAGCCACCGCTTGCTTCTCAGCCCTCCCAGGCTTCCCGCGTGGACAGCTGATTCACAGGAAGCGGGAGTGGGGGCTGGAAAAGCAGAGCGGGGTGGAGTGTTCAGGGGCGGAGGTGGAGAGGAGGTGAGCTGGGGCCGGGCGCGGAGCTGCCGGTGGGGGCTCTGCTCCCACCCAATTTTCCCCGTGGGTGCTCCAGCCCCGGAGCACTCACAGAGTCAGCGCCTAAGGCGCCACTTTTGATGTGATCAGTGGGGGGAGTGGCCGCTCTCCCTGCTCCCCCCCTAGCTTCGCTACCCCACCCCTCGGAGCCAGAGGGACCTGCCGGATGCTTCCTGGGAAGCCGCCCCAGGAAAGCACCACCGGCAGGTCCCTCTGGCTCTTAGGGGCGGGGCGGAGTGGGCACCCACTACGGTGGCCCACGAGACCCTCCTGCCCAGTTCCGAGGGCAGTCAGGGGAGGGGGGTGGATGGGGCAGGGATCTGGGGAGGAGGGGGCTACGACCCCCTCGTGGGGTGAGGAGGGAACCAGTTGTTAAGATTTTGGCAGCTCATCACTGCCCTTAGTTGTCTCTTTTCTAAACTGAACAGCCCTAATCTTTTAGTCTCTCCTCATATGGAAGCCATTCTATTCCCTTGATCACTTTTTTTACCCTTGTCTGAACCTTTTCCAGTTCCACTGTATCCACTTTGAGATGGGGCGACTGGAACTGGACACAATATTCGAGGTGTGGGCACAGCATGGATTTATATTGCACTTTCCATCTTCAAAGCACTTTAAAAACATTAACTAATATTCATTCCATCCCTGTGCAGTAGGTGAATATGTTGTGATCCCCATTTTGCAGAGACAGAAACTTTGGCAAAGGGGTTAAGTGATTTCTTCTAAAATTACAAAGAGAACTGAATGTACCAAATTTTAGACCTCATGAATTTCTGGCTCCCATTAATCCCAGACTAGGCAGCTGGCAGCAGACGTTAGATTGGTGACAGTCTGTTTTACATAATAGTGCTAGAGTCCTGAAAAAAGAAATGCTGGAACTCTCTTATAAGTGATAGAACCAGAAGTACTGGAACAGCCTTTTGGCTCCCCCAAACAGTGCCAGAACATCATTTCAACTCTCCAAAAAAGTGCCAGAATGACGTTCCAGGACATTCCAGCACAACTCAGGCCCTGCTGCTTTCTAGCTGTCCAGAGCCTGTCTTTGGGGCTCTAGACCCCTTGTTCCCTATCCCACACAAACCAGCAACAGCAACTGCTTTTCAAGGCTTCAGATCCCCACCGCCCCCCCCCGCCCATCCAGCGGCAGTTTTGGAGGATTCTGGGTTATTCTTTCATCCATTCCACCTCTGCAAATCTGACAGCAGCTTCTCTCTGGGACTCCAGGCTCACTGTATCCTTTCCGCCTGCAACTAGTCCCCAACCTACTTACCTGCAGTCAGCAATGGCTTCCCTTTGGAGTGTAGACATACTATTTCCCTTCCCCCACAACAGACAGCAACTTCTCTCTCCAGCTTCTGGCTCCCTCTTTCCTTTCTTCCCTCTCCCCTCCCCCCAGCTCAGGGGTGGCCAACATGTGGCTCATCAGAGGTTAATATGCGGCTCATAGGTGCTGACTCTGGGGCTGGAGCTACAGATGCCAACTTTCCAGTGTGCCGGGGAGTGCTCACTGCTCAACCCCCTGCTCTGCCCCAGGCCCTGCCCCGCTCCGCCCCTTCCCCCAAATGTGCTGTGCACTCCATCCTCCTCCCTACTCCTCAGAGCCTCCTGTGCATGCAAAACAGATGATCACGGCAGGCGGGGGGCATGGGAGGGAGGGGGAAGTGCTGGAGGGGGGAGGTTGATGGGGGGCTGCTGACGTATTACTGTGGCTCTTTGGCAATGTACATCGGTAAATTCTGGGTCCTTCTCAGGCTCAGGTTGGCCATCCCTGCCCCAGCTGCTAGGGTGGCTCTTCTTCCAGGCTATGGGCTGTTGATTGCTGCCCTCTGTTCCAAGCTCCAGCAGCCACTAAGCTGCGCAGGCTTCTCTTCAGGGTTCTGAAATGTGGTTGGGTGGATGACAAACAGGGGGTGAGAGGTACTTACTCCAGGGCTTTGTACAAGGACGAGACCTAGGGGGCATCCATTTGCCTTCCAGCTGCCTGGCTCACCACCATACCAGCTTGGAAGCAGTCTTGTTTATCATGCAGCCCGCCTGCCTACTCCAAATTGCCATGCCCCACACAAATAAAGGAGCATGGTAGAGAGAAGACAGGATGGGTTTGTTTTTGGGGGGAGGTGGGTAGGGAGCAAAGGAATTGTTTTTTGTGGTGAGGGGAGAAGACCAAGAATGGAGGCTAAGGAGAGAGACGGAAGGATTGATGGATGGATGCCAGGAGGTGAGAAGGAATAGATTTGATTTGTGGGAAGAGAAGGAATGGATTTGGATGGACACATGCATGCAGAGAGTGTTTGTCAAATAATTTTGTCTGATAGAATTGTATGGGCTGCCTGAGCCCACTGACTCCCAGCCTGGTGCTCATATCACTAGGTCACGGGTCTCTCGTTTTGGCCTAAAAAGCCTCTGGGATAATAGGTAGAAAAACTCAGTTTTGCCAATTCTCATGATTTTATTGTAAGTCCTGTAACATTTTGGTGCTGTTCTTAAAGCCCCAGGTCCCGGGATACCGTGATTACCTGAGTACCTCAGCTTTTATCTGGGAAAAAAAAAATAATAATAATTTTGAGCGCTTATGATTGTGGAGAAAAGCTTGAAAATGTGACCTAAGTGTACCCTGGCAAACCAGAAGGCAAACAAAATGTACTTAACATTTATTATTTTTTAAAATCTCATCATTTTTAAGCCAATCTCGTGACTTTTGGGTGGCTTGGCTCACTTTTGAATGTGTTTTGCAAAACTGTTCAGTTAGACTTGCCTGTTGGCTTTGTTCCGTGAAATCCATAGCCCACTGAAACCTCCCACTTCCCCTCAGAACCACCTGCTTCTCCTCTAGATGAAGCTTGTTGGATGAATACATTTCACCAGCTTTTCTCCTGTCCCTCAGCCCTTTCCACTGCTGCTCTCATGTGGGGAAGAAAAGAGGCAGATCTCTCCCTCAGAAAGGTTCTGCGAGAAGGGGGAAGGGCTGGCAAGATTCAGTTAGCACTATTAAGAGTTCAGAGTAACAGCCGTGTTAGTCTGTATTCGCAAAAGGAAAAGGAGTACTTGTGGCACCTTAGAGACTAATTGGTTAGTCTCTAAGGTGCCACAAGTACTCCTTTTCTTTTCACTATTAGAGTTGAGTCTCGAGGTGAGCAGGTGTCCATGTAGGAGAGGTCTGTGAATCGGTTTCACTGCATGCGGATATCCCCAGGAGTGCTCTTTCTTCTTACGCCTTCTGAGCAGCCAGCTCAGGAAGCTTGTGTTGCCGCATCTCACATTCTTTCCTTGCAAGGCAGATGTCTTTGGGGAGTGACGGGGAAGCAAGTGCTTACCCCTTCGCTTGCTGTTTGAAGCAGTAGCCATGTGTCTTTCAGCATGGCAAGGAGGGGAGTGGCACTGTGTCGAGAAGGAAATTAGGTGTCTCGGCGAGGGGTGTAACTATGATTTAAAATTTAAGATAAAGGGTAATATAGAACAAATTGGCTTCTAACTCATTCTGATGCTCATATTTTATTAAGTGAGTTGCCAGCCAAGTTTCAGGCGTAAAGACAGATAGTAAGGCTTGATTCTTGGAGTTCTTGGTATGGGAATTTAAACATGATTCTTTGCATGTACGTTAGTAAAAATGAAAAATACACATTTAAAAACGTTCTTGCTATTCCTCTTTAAGATTCTCTGTATTTTGAGTAGATGAAGGATATTGCTAGTTATTGCTAAATTATTTTGTGTCAATTCATATGACTCTTGAATCTCATGCTTGAAGGAGACAAAAAAGAGACAATAGAAATATAATGGATGTTTTCACGAAGCAAAAGAAGTATCTCTCAAGTGTAGCCTGCTTTATCTAATATGGATTTGTAGATTATAAACAGTTACCAGAATCTATCAGAAACCCTGAGTTTTAGGATTTCCAAGTAGACTGTAAGGGTTGGTCGCACATTGGGTACCTGGCCTGGCTGGTAGGAAGAGTGTTTATTTTTATTTAATCTTCAGTATATAAAAAGATGGGCTCATGAAAGAAGCTGCCACAAATATTTATTTTGTCACATTTTATGCATAGTGCTTTTCAGGCATATCGGAAAGTATTTTGCTATGTTTTGTTTAAATTTATTTTAATCCAATTTCATTATTTGACTAAGGTATATAATTCAGTTGCATTTTTTTTTAAACAGATGTGGGAAGAGGCCATTGCCTTGGGCAAAGAACTGGCAGAACAGTATGAAAATGAAATGTTTGATTATGAACAACTCAGTGAACTGCTGGTAGGTTTCTTTTACATTCAGTTTAAATTAACATCGACATTATCAACCAGTTTCTGTGGAATTTCACTTTTTAAGTTTTTTAAATAATATTGAAAATGCCTCTTACCTTGTTTATACTAGCCCAGTGGGGGAAGAATGATTTACTTGGCCGCTTGGGGCAGATGTAGGCTGGCAGATTAATTAACCATCTTTGGAAGTGACTTAAGTGGAAAATGTTTGGTTTTTTATGTTGGAACGAAGATATTCTGATTACAGTTTGCTTGTGCGCAGAAGGAAATTTGGGGTTTTTAAAAAAATAGATGGATGTATCTTAGCAAGATGTGTACACGAAAATTCCTTATCATTCCTGGAGCAATTAAAGATAGAGAGAACTCAGACTTTGATAAAATTATTTTAAAAATTGTAAACTGTATGTAAAGACAGTTATTTCAAAGGGCATCTGTATAATAACTTTACCAATAACTGTGGCGCTTGGAGCTTGTTAGTAGTAATGAGGTGTACTGAACAGAATATGGGACTGGAAACCAGGAAATTGAATTTTTTTCATCTCTGTCACTGACCTACTATTTAGCCTTCAGAAAGTCACTTAAAGTGTTTTTTTACTTTCAAAATTGACTAAGTATGCCAGGCATTTTAATTATTACTGGGCACACTAAGGCATGACTTGAAAAGATACTGGGGAGGAGAAGGCAGACACTGATCCATTACAAAAAGTTGTGAATCACTATTGTTCTAGAGGTATATGTTGATTTCTCCTTAGCACCAACAGTACCTAAATTCTGCTTCAGGAAACCTGAATTGTGAATATGCACTTTCCAATTCAGCTTCTCATCAATCCCATTTTTAAAAAAATCTTCTTTGTAATTACAGAAACAGAGGATCAAAATAATTTCCTCTCCTGAAAACTGGCTGGTCTGCGGCAATAACTGCGGGAGATAAATTAAGTGTTCCAGACTGTAGCCATGCTCTGAATTCTTGATCTCATTGTGAATCCCAACAAAAACTCGGGGATTCCTTCTTGGAATCTCATCCGTCAGGGAATCCATTTATGTATAGACTTCAGGAATAGTTCATATCCATAAAGAGACTGATCAATGTAAAATCATCTCTCCAGATGTTACACTCTCTTCCTGGGGAATGCAGTTTCTTGGCTTTGTTGCTTGCCTTGAGATTATATCCTTGGCCTGCTTCTGAGTTGATGTTCCTTCTGTGCATCACATCCAGCAAAGAATCAAGCATGGTCCAAGTGATATGTAGTCCCTTGCATATATAACTTTTTTTAACCATTCCACAGATGATTTTCTCTCATATGGTGATCCCACAACTCAACACTGGTTAAGAGAACTTGTATGTCTGATGTCCATTTAACTGTTCTAACTACACTTGTGAGTCTGTCTGATTAGAAGATGCATGTGGAGATGGTAGGATGGCTCCACCATCATATCAAGTGATAAAGCTCTATTGAAAAGTTCTAGACTCAAGAGCTATATGAAGGACACTTCTACTGCTACTTACATTTATGATATGTGGAACAGGTTCTAGCAGCAAACCAGTTCTAGTCTAGTCTGACAGTTGAGCAGCAGTTGTCTATGTGAATGTGAAGGGGTTCCACTCACTGCAGGAGTCCCTCCTTGTGGCTAGGTCTGAGAATTAGCTCTCGCCCTGTCTGGCACCCCATTCTGTTGGTGCTTGCTCTGTGGTTCCTCTCTCTTTGGGACTTGGGGTACTCCATCTTTACGACTTGACCCTTGGATCAGATCACTATACAGTCCCCTCTCACTGGAAGACTGTTTTCAAGTGGCCGCCTGTTCCAATTATCCAGGTCCTGTGCCACTTCCCCTCTGGCTATTAGGGGAACCTGGGTCCACCAGCTACTCTGGATTCCAGAGCAGAGACCCTATGACCAGCAACCTAGGTCTGCTCAGTCTCAGTCCCTATTGCTGTTTCCCTGGACTCCTTCCTAATCCCACCTCTCTACCTTCTGGCCTATCTCTGGGTTTACCTACAGTCTCTGTGGTTACTTTACCACTCTTGGCCTCTTCTCAAATTCCCTAGTCCAAAGCAAGATCCCAGGACTTACTTTCCACTTGGATCTTCTCCTTGTACCTAGCCAACTCCCTTTCCCCCTGGGGAGTGACTGCAGACCTCCTCTTTTCAGTCTTTTCTTTTGTCTTTGTTTTTTGGCTCAGCAGCCTGATCAGGCAGGGCTATGACTGCCATGTTCTTCATTCATTTTTAGCCATGTTTTGGGTTCTTATAAAACAATTATTTGACTCAATCTAGTATCCTTAAGGAAACATAACAAGACTTTTTTTTTTTTGCTCTATTCCATTTCCCTGACATTTTTACTGGCCTTTAGGGAAAAATCTTTGATTTTTAAGCAGATGAAATTTTCTTTCCATAGAATATTGCCCACAATGCCATAAAACATGATAAACAGTTTCTTTGGTTTAGCACATTACCCAGCACATCTTTGTCTTTTTAATAAGTTTAACTTATCATTTAGGGCACAATAAGAGCCCTAAATAACATTCTAAAAAAGACTACTTTACTTTATCATAATTGTGGAGTATAGTATTTTCTTTGATTTGTGAACATACATCGTAAAACCTTTGTCCTTTTGTTTCCTTAGTTCTTGCCATTTCTTTGTAAGCTGTTTTGTGACCACACTTTTAAATTCTTTTCTACTTAAGGGTATCTTAATACCGACCTCCTCACTTTTTAGAGCTTGATTTGCTTCTTTGTCATCTCATTTCCAGGTATTCGGATCTGTGCCAGATTCCATGCTATTGTCAGGCAGATACCTGCTTGCATTATATCTGTAGTTAGGAATGTTATTTCACTTATTATGTAATTTCTGCTTTCTGAAGTCTCTGTTTTGATTGTCATAATGCCATACAAGGAATCAGATAAAATTACAGCTGCAGCCAGTCACACATCTTTTATGCAGGTTCGTACCAACACTGCCCGCATTAGTTCAGCCATCAGAACAGTCACATAATTCAATAGCTGCTTTGATTTCTGGATTTCAAGACTAGGAACACAGAAGGCTGTTTCCATTCAACCTGTACTGTTAGCTTTTGATCTGTCTATGTAGTCTTGGCAAAGCTGGACCCACTTTTCATAAATAAATTCAGAAATTTCATTTGTCTTAATGTGTTTTTTTCTCCTCTTCCCTTAGTTTTTTTCATACAATTCCAAGTTCACCAATGAGGTAGTAACTGTTCCGCTGTAATTTGATTTCCCACACCTAAAAATTTTAGTGTCCTCAATTTTTCTTTTTTACATATCTCCTTTATCCATTTTTGACCCTGATAGCATGAAGAAGCCTGTGGCAATCCATATAATTTTGTTTACTTAACTCTCAGCAATACTCATCAAACTCTTCCTGCTCTCAGTTCCTGGTCTTTTACACCTATCCTAGCTCCTCCCCCAGCTGAGCTTCATCTGCAATTAGGCCTTATCAAGCCCTGTTTTCCCTCCAGGTACAGCATGTAAAGTTAATTGGCCCCTTCTGATCCATATTAACCTATTCAGGGCATCACAGTGAGACATCAACCAGAAATCCTAGGTTTCTCTCTGAGTCAATCCTACTACTCTTCTGGGCAGAGAAAACTTCATTGCTCTAAGAATGGCGTATCTCACAAGCAAGGTAAGTCTTCTTACTAAACAGAAAGGGAATGAGCTCCCTTCATCCAGTCATTTAGTCTTCCCTTAAACAACTAGGAACTCCCCAGCATAGATCACTTCAGCTTACCACAGAAAAAAAAGTTCTTCCTGCCTGGGATCCTTGTCTTCTTTGTCAGGAGCCTGTCCTTTGCTAAACACTGAGCCATGAGTAGTATAAGAGAGGTTAATGCTCCAATAGGAGGGAGTCTGACAGTAATTAAGTCCTCTTAAAATCCAGTTTCACTTTTTCTTTCCTAGTACAGAATCTCAAAGAAATTATCTTAAGTCACTTTTTTCTAGTGGCAGCTGTGGCATAACACACCTCCCTACTTGGCTTTTCATAAGGATTTTCCTCCATGAGCACTTAGCTGATTTCTGTCAGAATTGGGAGATTGTACTTCTTTCCCTGTGTCCTTTTCTCTCGATCAAAACTGAGAGGTGTGGCAATACCTCTAGATGTTAAAAGGGGTATGAAGTTCTTCATAAGCCACACACAACATTGTGAGTTTGTGAGAGTTTGTTGAAAGAAAGGGCATAAAGTCCATAAGAATTTGTATCTAAGTGGATCAGAATGTGATCCACTTGGGTGCTCATAAAGCTCAGAAGCAATCCAGTAGGGGATGAAATCCACTCCAGAAAGGCAACATCACCAATTGGGCTAAGGCAGGACGTGCTCCCCTATAAAAGTTCTGCAAAGCTGCCTTGTACTCCACACCACATACTTTTACTATATGTAGGGTGTAGAATGGTCTAGCAGGTAAAGCAGTAGACTGGCATTCAGGAGTCGTATTCCCAGAAATGCCATTGACCTACTATGTGACTGGCCTTGACCTTGGGCAAGTCATTTCACCTTTCTGTGCTGTTGTTTTCCTTTTCTTTGTTTTCTTTCAAATGTAAACAAGGACTTTCTTTCACTGTGTTTTTGTATAGAATAGCGGGCCCTAGTCTCAGCCCCGATGATATTGTAATACAAATAATAGATACCTCTGCTTCTGCAGATGCAACTTTGGAAAGAGCTCCTTGCTTCTTTCCTTGAGAAATAGTTCTGCCCTTTTGTATGGAAGGAATCTGGTTATAGGCTGATCTTGTTTACTTAGAGAAGAGACCATTTTTCATAAGTCTGAATGATAATTCTTCAGTGGATAAGGTCACTCTCTAAGCACCGTCCCTGAATCTTTACTTCTTTTCCATGTTACTTGTATTTTTGTGCTTTTCTTTTTTTCTTTCTTGACAAATATTCCTCACTGAGCTAGTCACTGTTATTTAATGGATAAGCTTTGTTCAGTTTGGGTATATTTGAATAAGACTCATTTCTTTCTCCAATCAATGTCTCGCCAACCGGGTGACGCTCACTTAACAACTTGTGAGTGTGAGCCAACTGCAGTCTGGAGACAACCTGGATTTGTATTAAAAATTCTGAAATGTCACTGGTGGCTCATGCCTGTTCAAGTGTGGCATAAGCAAAACACATCTATTTAAACCTGTTTTTAATAATATTAATATCTTTGATTTTTTTTCCTTTCTAAGCATAGTACTTTGTGCTTGTCTTTATTGAATTCCATCTTTTTGATTAAAGACAAGTGCAAAGTACTCTGCTTAGAAAGGAAAAATCAAATGCACTGGCTAAGCAATAGTACTACAGAAAAGATCTGGGGTTATAGTGGATCACAGATTGAATATGATACAACAATTTGATTCAGTTGTGAAAAAGCCTAATATTCTGGGTTGTATTGGCAGGAGTCTCATTCTAAGACATAAGAGGTGGTAGTTCTGTTTTACTAGGCACTGGTGGGGCCTCAATTAAAAAAAATGATCATGTTTAGTCTCGAGAAAAGAAGACTATGGGGGACATGATAACAGTCTTCTAAAAAGCACAGTGATCTATTGTTCTCCATATCAACCAAAAGTAAAACAAGAAATAATGGGCTTAATCTGCAAGGAACTAAGGAAATTCATGTTAGATATTAGGAAAAACTGTCTAACTGTAAGGATAGTTAAGCACTGGAATAGGCTTCCAAGGGAGGTAGTGAAATCCCCATCATTGAAGGTTTTTAAGAATAGGTTAGATCGGTAACCATTGGCATGCGGCCTGCCAGGGTAAGCCCCCTGGGTAAGCCCCTTTGGCCAGGTGCCAAAGGTTGCCGATCCCTGGGTTAGATTGTCAGGGATGGTGCAGACATACTTGGTCCTACGTCAGTTCAGGGGGGTGGACTAGATGAACTCTCGAGGTCTGTCCCAGCCTATGATGCTGTATATAGATTCTGTCATCCTTTGGATGGCTAATTATTGTCCATCTTTAAATTGGATCATACAGACGAAACGAGAGAATAATTTTTAAATAATAGCTTAGTATTTATAAGTATTCATAGATAAAAATTATTCATCAAGGGAAACATGCATATAACTTTAACCGGAAAAGTTATTACATAAGATTTTCATCTCCAGTTTAAAGGTCAAATACAAACTTTTTAGAAAGTACAAAATCATTTGAATCAGTGAATCAGCTGCAAGTTGTCTGCTGTCTCTCTAGATTTCAAAGAGAGACTTGGAAAAATCCACTTCAGTAGGAGGCATGCTAGATCTCATTCAGTACAACAATACCCATAACATAGACTCTGATAGGCTGCATATTTCTGCTCTCCAATTCTTGTAGCTAATGTCTCTTTGCCCTCTTCTTGGCAAGGCAGGTTTAGATTTAGCTGGTCTCTCTTGTTTATACCAATCCAATTGTGTATCTCACGGTATCTAAAATTGATTTTAGTGGTAGCTGACCATCTGTGAAAACTCTCGGGCTAATTCTCCGCCCTGTTACGTTTGTTCTGTGATGCTTTGGTGGCGCTAAGCAGACTTAAGGGATGGATGGTCCACAGGTTAGAACACTACCCTATGACTTGGGAGTCCTGGGTTCAAGTCTTTGCTCCACCACAGACTTACTTTGTAATCTTGGGCAGGTCACTTAGCCTCTCTCTGCCTCAGTTTCCCCTCTCTACAATGGGGATAAAGCACTTCCTTCCTCACAGCGGTGTGAGGATAAATGTACATTAAAAGGTTATGAGATGCTCAAATACTAAGGTAATGGGGACCACAGAAGTACCTTAGATAGATATATATAGAAAGATACAGGTTGCCTAAGTGGGCAGCTAAGGATCCCTCCAGTGGCATTGAGGCAGCATACCCAGCCCCACAAGCTTGCTGCCCTCAGAGAAGAGGGCATGCCTACTGTACTTCAAGAATCCCCAGCTCCCAGTCCAGTTCCATGAGCTTATTCGCCTTAGGCAGCTCTAATTTATGGCAGGGTTCACAGAGGAATAAAGGTAACATACAGCCACTTTTGCCCACCTGCCCCCCACAGAGCATAGTTTGGTTGTGCACCAAGCACAGCACGGCAGTCCTGAGGTTTAGATTCCTAATGTTTAATTAAGGAAGAGATAAGACAATGAAAGTAGCATCCCTACCATGTTCATCTCCTGGGAGCCTTTTTAAAGATGGATGCTGCAGCACTTCTGAATACTTTTTATATAGAAGCAGTTGTTCAAATGTTAAACATTGGACTTTAAGACATTAGCAAAATGATATTTTTACAGCCAGTTGCAAAATTCACTTTTCCAAAGATGAACTGAGATGTATTTGGTAAGTTGATGTCTTATGGCAATTGCTCTCTGCCATATGGTTGCAGTAATAAAGCTACCACAAAATCACACTACATCCACATTCAAAATCTTGTAGACTGAAATTATGTTAATGAGCACATATTGTAAAGTTATAAATTCTGTTCTCTTACCTCACAGCTCATTCTTATCATTTGAGCTTAACGCTGATTTTAAAAGAAATAAGGATCTGAGTTCAACTACAGATCAGTGGAGAGGCCTACTAGTCCCTGGCACATTTGTCTATGTCATGGGGTTCACGAACTTTCAATTTTATGGATGGCATCTTAAAATAGAGTCCCGTTGACCACCTTCACTCCCATTCACAATTGCATAACATTCCAGTTGCAGCTACAGCAATTGTTCACATGAAGAGTAATGCTAGGAACATATTTATATACTGTTAGCATATTTTAATGCAATTTAGCAGCTGGAAAAAAGGAGGTGAGCCAGTACCATGAGACCAGCTAGCTTCATCAGCAAGTGCTTACAGGATTCAACTTTGAAGCCTTTAATCTATATCACCGAATCCAATATGGAATTTCGTACCTTTGGTCATGTCTACTCAAGAAATTTCCAGAGAGTAGGACAACAGGGTTGTTGCAAGTCAGAATTCAAGTGCTTTGGAAAATTCCTTTGGGGAAGTATGCATTTATTCTGTCCATATTCTGTATCCATTACCACAAAAGTTCACTCTAACCGAAAAGAATATGTAGGATAAATAGTATGGCATTTTCAGATATCAGTAGATGACTGGTCAAAAGATGAATAAAGACAAAAACACTTTATAGAGAATGTTTTGAACAGAAAAACTCTTACACTGGATTCTCATCTTCAGGGGAAATCTAGAAGGAAACTTTCAAGTAAAGTGTTGTTGCTGTTTATTTTACAGAAAAAGCAAGCACAGTTCTATGAAAACATCGTGAAAGTGATAAGACCTAAACCAGATTACTTTGCTGTTGGATACTATGGCCAAGGATTCCCTACATTTCTACGGGTAAATATTCTTTTTTTTTTCCATGAGTTACAGGTAGATCACTTGGTTTGAACAAATTTTCCTTTCATGCTGGAGAGGATTTGTAAATAGGAATCTTTTTGTAGTTATACGAAAAAGATGTCAATTTTCTTTTCAGTTATGACTTAGCAGAATTGTAGTCAAAGGAGCTATTCTTTACAGCACATCCAGTGTTTTATAAATCTTAAGTTTTCATATAATTGGAAATGAACGTGTGTAACCCGTATGTTTTAAATCTAAATGATTGTCTTGCTTTTGACTGTTCCTTTAATACAGAGCGCAAATAATGATTGTCAGAGAGAACAGTTTTTCACTAGTATAATATTAGAAGGTTGTGAAGGGCCAATAAGTTTAATAAATTATTTTTGTCTGAACTATAGTTACAATTTAAAATGATATCTAATAAAAGTATTTTTCTAATTGTTTGTGATACTTACATTTTGTCATAGTTCATTTACAGATTAAAGATATTCTTAACAAAAATGTGTAGAAGATTTAGGAATAGAAAGTAGCTGCATTGTAATTATTGTAGTAAAATATAATACTTAGCTAATTGGGGTTTACAACAGGCAAGATATTTCCTATTCTATTGTTAGAATCATAAAGTATGAAAATGAAAAGCTCTCATGAGGGTATGTGATCCTTACAGCTGGTAAGTGCAGGATTTGTATTTATCCTATATTTTCTAGTGCTTTATCTACATAGTTGTAAATGCTAGTTTTGATTATTCTGTTCTTGTGAGACATCAGCTGATCTGCAATTCTGAAACTTGACTGCTTCCCCAGAAAATAATTGGATAAACATTTTATAAAATTCCTGAAAAACAAACCACAGGGAATGGTGAGAATAACAGTAATCTTCAAAACTAGAAAATAGAAGGTACCATAAAGTTACTGGTAACTTCTCAGAGAGTGATTTACTATTAATTTTGCCACATGCGCATTAACGTACAACAGAGTGCATATTTCCCATTATGGACAGAGTTATCTGTCAATGATTTAGAGCTGTTAAATACAACTTCGTGGAAATTATTCTACTGGGATCACAAGAGAGGCAGCAAACTGTCTTGAATATCTGAGTGCAATAGTAGTATATTCGCACGTTCCAGCATCTGAGCCAGTAATACATTTGCATTCAGGAAATGTGCAGAGAGTACAACTCACAATTTTCCAGTTGAAGCATTGTGTTATCTGTATATTGAAAGGGATATAATGGAAAGTAAGAATAGAGTTAACCAGGTTTACTAATATTGGACTGATCTTTTTCTTCACAATTGAATAATTTTTTGTTATTGCAGCAACATGTTTATTATGCTTCAAAAATTGTCAAGGGTCAGTGTGTCATATATATATATTAGCAATAAAAAATATATATTAGCAATAAAAACTGTAATGTTTGGCTATTATGTGGATTGCTGACAGAGAAGGTTCTCAATACAAGATTTTCCCTGTATTTCAGTTTTTATTTTGAGTTATAAGAATGATTCACTTTTAATGTATCTATCTTCATATTTCTATTCTCAAATAGAGATAAATATTTTTCAGCTCTTGTCAATTTCAAGGAGCAGCATTGCAGAACCAAACTTAAGTGACTGTTATAGAAATTATTAGCATTATGCTCCACAAATCATTGTTTTTCTATTAGGTTGGTAATAATTTTTTTACAAGTCTTACTTCTAAGAACTTCTGAGATGAATAATAAGATAAAACATTTTCAGATTAGGTTGTTACTTTCATATCAAAATTCATTTTAATGTGTCTTGATCGCTTTAGTGCTATAAACTTATGTGCCTCCTATTATACAACATACTTATCTTTAAGAATTAAGCATATTTCTTGAACGTATAACTCAGATTTATCTTATCGGTTTATCTTAATTTTCATCATTCAGTGACACAAAGCAATAAGCAGAAATGACCTAGCATTAAAATAATCATATAGAAGCTATTCTTTTCAGACAACTGTAAAATATTAATAGAAACCTGTTTGAGAGAGCTAAAATGAAATCCACAGTATCTCGATCTTTTTAGAAAAGCTAAATTAGATATATCATCTTTGGATGTATATGAAGTGCTCTGCACTAGAGTTGAGATACTATGTAATAAGATGTCATTTTATAACTACAGACTATATGGAACTGTCCTGCTAGATGTAGCAAGAATCTCTGATACTCCTTGCATACTCATTTCATCGGAACTGGTTTTGTAAATGTTTAGACATAATAGCTAAATTCTGCTCTGATACACCATGCAAACACCATTCACTTCAGAGGATGATTTGTGGGTGCAATGGAGAGGATTATTTTGGCCAATATTTTTTCAGATATTCAGGGAGGTGGCTTATGCACTTAAAGTTAAGAGGTGCTCGAGAGCTATCCTAAATTGAGGCCTTTATTATTTGCCATAAGCCCTTATTTAAACACATACTAAAATTCCGTTAACTTCAATAAGATTTAAGCCTGTGCTTGAAGTTCAGTATGTGCTTAATGGCTTTACTGAATATGGATTAATTAATGCTTCAGTGCTTTGCAAAATTTTCACCATAATATCTGTGTTGTGTGTCATTCTGTTGTAAACTAGATGTTTTATATTTCTACAGCTAGTAGGAGCATTTGAAGAATCCTCCAGATACGCTTTCAGCGGACTAGGATACTATTTTATAGTGAATGTACTGTGAATGTAACTATATGAATTTCACTGCTTAATTTGTTTCCAGAACAAAGTGTTCATTTACCGGGGGAAGGAATATGAACGTCGTGAAGACTTTGAAGCAAGGTTATTAACCCAATTTCCAAATGCCGAAAAAATGAAGACAACATCTCCACCAGGCGATGATATTAAAAACTCCCCTGGTCAGTGTATCCTTGAAAATTGCTACATGCATATGCTCATGTAATCTAATCAGACTGAGAATTTTATTGTTGCTAAAATTGCACAGTAGTTCACTGCACTTTTTATGTTTTTATTGAAATATTACTGTCTTTATGCCAATTTTCAAGAGACGTTTCTCAGTTGAACCATCTCTCCTGCATAATTTAAACTCTGTCTCTTTTCAATTCTTAACCTGTCAATTCAGATATTCAGTGTTTTACTGTAAAACCAAAACTTGATTTACCACCCAAATTTCACAAGCCGGTATCAGAGCAAATTGTAAGGTGAGTTTTCCATTAATTCTACCTTCTTACCAATCTGGGTGAATGGCCTGCATACAACATTGAAATTAAGTAAACCCTTGTAAACTGTAATTCTTCTTCTTTGTTGTTATAGCGTGTGTTTGATTTTAAAAATAAGTTTCTATAAGCAGCCACTGAAGATAACACAGACACATGCTTGAGGAGGTGAACCCAAGTTCATATCACAATGGGGTCCTGATCTATAATTGGGACTGTTAGGCAGTACCACAAACCAAAATATAAATAATAATAAAAGTTACAGTAGAACCTCAGAGTTTTGAACACCTCGGGAATGGAGGTTGTTCGTAACTCTGAAATGTTCGTAATTCTGAACAAAATGCTATGGTTCTTCCAAAAGTTTACAACTGAACATTGACTTAATACAGCTTTGAAACTTTACTGTACTGTAGAAAAATGCTGCTTTCCCTTTATTTTTTTAGTAGGTTATGTTTAACACAGTACTGTACTGTTTTTTGTTTTGTTTGGGGGGTTTTTTTGGTCTCTGGTGCTGCCTGATTGCATACTTCTTGTTCCAAATGAGATGTTTGGTTGACTGGTCAGTTCGTAACTCTGAGGTTCTACTCCAGTTACTTCACTTCTTTGGACTGGCTCCATGCCTAAGTAAAGGACTGTGTTAGTTGCAACATCACAGTACAGTGAATGATGTGATACTGTAGCCAAGCAGGAACCAAGCAACCATTACGTTCACAGGCATGACAAGAGCTGAAAGGAGAAAAGTAAAGTGTGAATTTTAAACAATATCATGCTGAATTTTCCTTTTTACCTGGCTGCTTATAGCTCTTCAACCCATACTGATAAAGTTTCCAGGACCTGGCACTTAATCTTTGCAGACTTCCTTTAGCCCCTGAGTAGAGAACCCTTGTAGTTACTAAAAACAACAGCACACCTCTGCAGTTGTAAGATAAAAAGGGGGTTGGTGGATTACAGATGGTTGCAGTTAGCAATAAATCCAGTGTTTCTGTTCAGTCCATTATTTTTGGTGTCTAAATCCATTCATTATGGATTTACAGCTTATTACAATATTTTGTAACCCACTCTAACGGGTGGGCGCTCACCACTCCAGCACCTCCTGCTGCCTGTCTTGAGAATTAGTTTTGCGCCCTCTTCAGGTGGTGTCTTGCCACCATCACTCCTGCTCTAGGACCCATGTCTTTCCAAGGTCCGCAGCGTCCTCTTCAATGACACAGCCCTCTGGTCGTGCCACACACTGTGCTCCCCCCTTCCGGGGGACCAGCAGTCCGCTGTTCAGCCACTTCCCTTAATGGCTACTGCAGCGAATTGTCAGGCCACTGCCTCATGGCCCCAGCATCCTCTTTCCCTTGGCCCCAGGGCCTCAGCCTGCAAACCCCAGCAGCCAGCCAGGAGCTGTCTCTCGCTCCCCCGGTTCCTGCTCATAGCACTGCTCTGCCAGCACCCTGGACAATTCTCTAAGCCCTCCAGAGAGACAGTCCTTCCTCGCTGGGCTCCCAGCAGAGAACTGAACTCTGCGCTGCAGCTCCCTTTTTATATGGGCCTGGTTGGCCCTGATTGGCTGCCTCCAGTGCAGTCTCCTTAGGGCTCCTTTTAACCCCTTTTCTGCCAGTGAGGAGCAGGTGCCCCATCACACCCACTGACCTCCTCTTTTTGTCCTATGACTGCAGAAGTGTTAACGGGCCTGTCAAGGTTCCTTCCCCACTCTGAACTCTAGGGTACAGATGTGGGGACCTGCATGAAAGACCCCCTAAGCTTATTCTTACCAGCTTAGGTTAAAAACTTCCTCAAGGTACAAACTTTGCCTTGTGCTTGAACCCTATGCTGCCACCACCAAGCGTGTTAAACAAAGAACAGGGAAAGAGCCCACTTGGAGATGTCATCCCCCCAAAAGATCCCCCCAAACCCTACACCCCCTTTCCTGGGGAAGGCTTGATAAAAATCCTCACCAATTTGCATAGGTAAAGACAGATCCAAACCCTTGGATCTTAAGAACAATGAAAAAGCAATCAGGTTCTTAAAAGAAGAATTTTAATTAAAGAAAAGGTAAAAGAATCACCTCTGTAAAATCAGGATGATAAATACCTTACAGGGTAATCAGATTCAAAACACAGAGAATCCCTCTAGGCAAAACCTTAAGTTATAAAAAGACACAAAAACAGGAATATACATTCTATTCAGCACAACCTATTTTACCAGACATTTAACAAAAGGAAATCTAACGCATTTCTAGCTAGATTACTTACTAACTTAACAGAAGTTCTTAACTGCATTCCTGATCTGTTCCCGGCAAAAGCATCACACAGACAGACAGACCCTTTGTCTCTCCTTTCCCCCCCAGCTTTGAAAGTATCTTGTCTCCTCATTGGTCATTTTGTGTCAGGTGCCAGCGAGGTTATCTTAGCTTCTTAACCCTTTACAGGTGAAAGGGTTTTGCCTCTGGCCAGGAGGGACTTTATAGTTCTGTATACAGAAAGGTGGTTACCCTTCCCTTTATATTTATGACAGGGCCACTCTACTTTGAATGGTCCCTTACAATATGTGCCAACTTCTTATAATAAACAGTCTGCTCCACCTTGTATTTTGCTGTGATGCTGGGAGTTCCTTTCCCAGACCTGAGAAGAGCTCTGTGTGGCTTGAAACCTTATCTCTCTCACCAGCAGAGGTTGGTCCAATAAAAGATAAGACCATGAGAGACACATAATGTTCTTATCTTTTATTGGACCAACGTCTGCTGATCTAATTACCTCACCTACCTTGTCTCTCTAATATCTTGGGACCGACACGGCTACAACTACACTGCATCAGTACATGCCGGCAGACTCAGAGCTATGGGGCAAACTGTGACTCCTTTTCCCTGTTAACAGAGAAGTTCAGCAGTATTTTATTTAAATGTTCTAACGACTAAACATGTTGTTAATACAAAATACATTTACAGTTATGCTATCTGTTCTTTGGTTTTTCTTAATTCAGTTTCTATAGGGTGAATGAGGTCCAACGATTTGAGTATTCACGGCCTGTCCGAAAAGGAGAGAAAAACCCAGATAATGAATTTGCGGTATTTTTTTTTTCTCTTTTGTGAATGCAGGATAGCTGTTATGTTTTGGTTTGTTGGAGGTTGATAGATTGATTTCGTAACTGCAATAAAATGGGACTGAATTTATTATGAGTGCAATAAAAACTATATGTATCACGAATTCTGTTTTATAGCACTAAGCAAAATGAACAAAGCTTCTCTTTAGTCTGTTGAACATTTGACCACTTTGCAGGAGAAATACAAAACCGTCAGGCCTTAAAATGTAACCATCCTTCACTGAACGCTGTCTTACCTTAAGGGTCCCAGCCAGGCATCCTTCAAAATCAGTCTTTGCTACAGCAATACATATTTTACAAAGCCAGATGGTTCACCATATGGTCAATAAAGCTCTCTCTCTTATCACAGCCTGTGTCCACCAAGTTGGTTACAACAAGCCACAAAAATCAAGTGCTTTTCTCCCCTCCCTCTCCACACCCAACTTATTCCTGGCATAAGAAGAGGAATAATACTAACAGTACTTTGTAGTTTATATATAATTTTTCAATTGTAGATCTCAATTTTCTTTAGAATAGGAGGCTCCTTGTGCCTTTGAATAGACTGGAATTGGTTTACTAGAGCAGAGAACAGTGAACAGCTTCCCCAGGTTCATTGTCCACTTCACCATTTGCTCTGAATAGAGAGCTGCAGTCTTACACCTCCATACAAGCTAGCCAATTTTAATCTGCTGTGCTTTGAGGGGCTGGTGTGTTGCGGAACTCCACCCTATCATTGCAGGCAGAAGATACTCAGCCAGTCTATCCTGATTCACTTGACAAGCCCTGTGCCACAGCTGGTTGTTCTGCTACTCAAAGTAAACTTGGCTGCTAATAAAAGTGATCCCAGATGAGATGGAAGAAAATGCTCCCATCATCAATGGATGATTCTGGTGCAAAAACCAACAAAGATGTTTTGGTGAAATAAAGTGCTACAATGTACCTTGATTTCCAATTAAAAAAAATTAAAGTAACTAAAACACATAGGAGCTTCGGGCCAGATTTTTAAAGGCATGTAGGCATCTATGGCAATTTTCAAAAGCACCTAGGTGCTTAACTCTAGGCATCTGGTTGCTTTTGAAAATCTCACTAGGCACCTGAATACCTTTAAAACTCTAGCCCTTGGGTCCTATTGACTTTCAATGGGACTTAGGCTCCTAAGTGAGTTAGGAGCTAATAAAAGACAGCCATGCCAATATATTCCCCATTTAAAATGGGGAGGCAGGGCTAAAGAAAACAAAATTAGATAAAGAAACATGTTCATCATGACTTTAACATTTACAGACATGAGAGAGCAATAATTAAAACAATAATTTCTTTTAAAATAGAAGACAAAGAAGTTTTAAGATTAGGCTGCTTCTCCTTGCACTTAAACTCACTGAGATTTTTGATGAAAGATACAGTCTGTAAGAACACTTTTTAGGGCATTAATGTGAGAACCCTAAAGGTTACACGTGGGAAACTTGTTTTCAGCTTTATTTAAAATTGTCCACTCAGAGAATGGAGTGGAGGATTTCTGTAGACAGATAAATTTGTTCCTGAAGTCTGTCATCCCACTTTGTCTAATGTGATTTTCACATGAGAGACAGGTTAGTTGGAAAATGACAGTTCAACAGAAGCAGGTGCAGCTTTTACATAATGTTACCCTTTAGTTAAAAGACCAATGTTTGGCTGTTAAATAGCACATTAGCTAACATGTTGAGACCAATCTCACCACAGACATAGCCCTGAAATATACATACAGATTCCATTTGCAATTTTTTTTTAGCTTTGTAATGTCTATACTGCTACAGTTCTTCTTTCTGATAATGAAGTTGTAAATCTTTGGTTAGGATAAAAGCTATCAATCTGCTAACATGCTATTTCTAACCTTTTTTATGTTATATTTGCAGAATATGTGGATTGAGAGAACCATCTATGTGACAGCATATAAATTACCAGGGATTTTAAGATGGTTTGAAGTCAAATCAGTTTTCATGGTAAGGACAAATCATGATGAATTTACTAAGACTACTTAGAACTTTTTTCTTTCAGTTACTGAATATATGTAGTGTATATAACTCTGCTTAACCTCAAAGTCTAATCAATGGAACCATATGTAACCTGCTAAAGGAATGTGGACTTACATACTGTCAAGGTTCCTCCCCCACTCTGAACTCTAGGGTACAGATGTGGGGACCTGCATGAAAACCTCCTAAGCTTACTTTTACCAGCTTAGGTTAAAACTTCCCCAAGGTACAAATTAATTTTATCCTTTGTCCTTGGAATATCCATTGCCACCACCAAACTCTAACTGGGTTTACTGGGAAACATAGTTTGGACACATCTTACCCCCCAAAATCCTCCCAACCCTTACACCCCACTTCCTGGGAAAGGTTTGGTAAAAATCCTCACCAATTTACATAGGTGACCACAGACCCAAATCCTTGGATCTGAGAACAATGAAAAAGCATTCAGTTTTCTTACAAGAAGACTTTTAATAGAAATAGAAGTAAATAAAAGTAAAGGAATCACCTCTGTAAAATCAGGATGGTAGATACCTTACAGGGTAATTAGATTCAAAACATAGAGAATCCCTCTAGACAAAACCTTAAGTTACAAAAAAGACACACAGACAGAAATAGTCATTCTATTCAGCACAATTCTTTTCTCAGCCTTTTAAAGAAATCATAATCTAACACATACCTAGCTAGATTACTTACTAAAGTTCTAAGACTCCATTCCTGGTCTATCCCCAGTAAAAGCAGCATATAGACAGACCCAGATCCTTTGTTTCTCTCCCTCCTCCCAGCTTTTGAAAGTATCTTGTCTCCTCATTGGTCATTTTGGTCAGGTGCCAGTGAGGTTACCTTTAGCTTCTTAACCCTTTACAGGTGAGAGGATTTTTCCTCTGGCCAGGAGGGATTTTAAAGGGGTTTACCCTTCCCTTTATATTTATGACACATACCCACTCTTCTCATCAAAGAATACTGTTGTTTATTGACTAAGGTGAAGGCTCAGATAGCAAAAGTAGTATTCTTCTGTCACTGGTACAAAAATATGAATGGTGAATCATATAAAACCTCTAGGCCCTGATTCAGCAAGATTTTTCAGCACTTCTTACCTTTAAGCACGGGAGTAGCCACATTAAAATCAAATGGACTACTCGTTCATTGCTGTATGAGTAGGCTTGGAAGGATTAGATTTTTATCATTAAGTGTCAATTTCACCATAAACACAGAAATCAGTGAAAAAGTATTTCCAGCTATAATAAAAATATACAGATAGGCAAAGAAAGAAAAATGATACTTGAGAACTTACGTGAGTTTGATTTACGGATATTTCCTTTGTACATTTTGACGTGAAGCTCACAATTTGTGTTTTAGCAGTTATAAAGTTTTAACTTATTGATTCTCAACATCTGCTGTTGTTAAATATTGTCTGATTCCTCCTGTTGTCTGACCTCCCCATAATTTCCCACAACTGTGAAAATTTAAATAAATAAAAACTGAAAAATGATTAAAACAAATGATTTTTGCACAATTATGAAAATGTTAACTGATAAGAATTTTAAAAATACTTTAAAATAAAAATATTATCTGTCAAAATTATTTAAAAAAAAAAGAGAGAGAGAATTCTGCCAAGGGCTCTAATTTGTAAAGACCACAAAAGTATTGCTTTTTAAAAGTGGGAATTGGATCATTTAACTGTAATTTATCTAAGGGAAGACTTTAACTATATTAAATTACTTGTGCTGACTAAATTTCTTTTGTAAATATCATTAGTGATTAAATGTTTGAGTTCTCGCTATAGTTTTTAAAGTTAGCTAAAATATGCCCTAAAAACTTCACCAAGAATTTTAACAAATGTGTATCTCCTTTTATCTAAGTTTCAGAGTAGCAGCCGTGTTAGTCTGTATTCGCAAAAAGAAAAGGAGGACTTGTGGCACCTTAGAGACTAACCAATTTATTTGAGCATAAGCTTTCGTGAGCTACAGCTCACAGCATCGGATGCATAAAGTGTACTTCCCACTTTATGCATCCGATGAAGTGAGCTGTAGCTTATGAAAGCTTATGCTCAAATAAATTGGTTAGTCTCTAAGGTGCCACAAGTAATCCTTTCCTTTTTTCTAGTTCATAACTAAAACTGTTTACATAAAATATATCCATAAAATATCTTACATACTAAATTAGCTGTAATTTTTAAGTTGCAGTGAAAACGTTGTTACTTGCTGCAGTTTTTAAATCTTCCTTATGAGGCTTTATTTTATTTTTTTAAAGGGAAAGAACAATTTGCATATGATTAATTAAAAACATTTTATTGCTCCATTGAGATTTGGTTGGACATTTGTATTTAGATGAACAAAAGTAATGCAGAAAATGCCTATGGTATCTATAGTAACAGAATATGAATGTGATATTTGACAGTATTAGGCAACTGAATAAAACATTTTGATTTATTTTTGTATTTTTATATTTTCAACATAATCCTGATAGAGATGATAGCATTTACCCTCCCTGTTGCAAGAATTGTTTTCTGTAAAACCTGGCATATCTGATGAAAACTCCTTCACCTTCTGAGTCAAGAACACAGTCTGACAGGCCACTTCATCCAGTTTATACATGTGCACTTTTAATGCTGTGCACCTGATAGAAATGTGCATGAATCTGTTTAATGGAGCTCTTTCTATAAGCCTTTTGTAAGTAAGGATTATATTAGTCACAGTTGAAAAAAGGAAACAGAAACAAAAGTAAGGAGAGCAAAGGATGACTTTTGACCTACTATGTAAGTCTATTTACTACAAAAGCAGTTATTAACTGTACATAAACATTCGTATCAGGTAAAACTCTAGCAGCATAATTGCAAATCTTGCACCTCTATAACACAACATTTTAATTCCTGATATAAATACTCTGGGTACATTGCAGAGCACAATGAATGAAACTCCTTTGAATATTTTATAAGTTGTTGATAGAACTTGAAAATTCCATTTTAAATAAAGGGTTGATGCCACATCAAATCATTGACTAGAGAGGATTAAATAATTTAATAGATGAATTAATTTATTTTTTTTCTTTTTGTAAATAACTAATAGCAGTTTATGATTTCCTTTAATTTGTTGTTTGAAATTATTTGCTTCACTTTTACTAATACTTCTTGGTCTGTAGATTGTTTGCAAACAGGTTGTTGTGAGTATTTGAATATGTTAAATTTGAGCTCTGAAATTTTAATTGGACTCACAGATAATATACTGGTGTTTCTCTGTAATGAATGGATGAGAATAACTTCTAAAATCAGGTTTCTGGTTTGAAACCAGATTTACAAGTTCAGTATTGATTTTAAAAGTTTGTGTGCACAAACTTAGCAGACAGAGTCATTTGTCATGAAACCTTGAATTCTAAAATAATGCTCAAAACACACTTTAAAAAATTATAATTAAAACAGACTTGATTTAATCAGATAGCAGGTGTAAGAGTGACAACTAAAGAAATTTGATTATAAGTGGCTCTCAGAAGCATGCTAAGCAACTGATAGCTAGCTAGAAGTGCTTCATTTATGTAGAGTTTATGTAAATTAGAGTGTAATCAGCTACACACTTGCATTTTCCTAACAGGCCCCAATTAACCCCCATCACACACGTTTTCCATTTCTACCACAACATTTTTTGTATAAATAGGCTAGAACTTTAACACTCTTTAATTGAGAGACTTCCAAAATTTGGTGAGTGGATAACTAAGGGTATTCAGAGTACTTGCTGGTGGTCTGTAGAGAGCTTGCTCTCCTCATACAGGGTGTTTAGTCACATTAATATGTATTTTAGCTATATTTTAAATATTTTCCAGATATTACTTTTAGGCATAATCAACTGCTGTAGTTGCCAGAAGGATGTATCTGATCACAAATGATGGGAGGTGATCTGTATGATTTCAAATGGGAGGGAGGTGCATACAATGCAATCTCTCTATTAAGAACCGATTCACCTTATTAAAGAGTTTGAGGACCCCTACTTTAAACAATGTAATAACTTTAGACCATGGAATAGAATCATAGAACTGGAAGGGACCTTCAGAGGTCATCTAGTCCAGAGTCCCCTGCACTCATGGCAGGACTAAGTATTATCTAAACCATCCCTGATAGGTGTTTTGTCCAACCTGCTCTTAGAAATGGCCAGTGATGAAGATTCCACAACCTCCCTACGGAATTTTTCCAGTGCTTAACCACTCTGACAGGAAGTTTTTCCTAATGTCCAATCTGCTAATACATCCCAGAATTATGTTTGCTCTTTTTGGAACAGCATTACACTGTTGACTCATATTTAGCTTGTGATCCGTTATGACCCCCAGATCCCTTTCCGCAGTACTCCTTCCCATTTTGGCAGTCATTTCCCATTTTGTATGGGAAGAAAGCATCTTTTTGGTTTAATTATCCAAAATAGAATGAAGACAGTGGTACCTACTGTACAAATATGATCGCCTTTTATACAACATATTTAATACAACTTCCTGAGAGGCTACCAGTTACTGCAAAAGCCACGCAGAAGTACCTTCTTCCTTTTTAATATTTAAGTATCTGAAGAGCACATCTTTAAAGTCCATCAGACAATCCAGTCCAAGATGCTGGCTGTGCTGTTACCATAATGGGGTCTGGATCACTCTTCTGTACCCACTAAGAGCTGCTTGTCCATAAGTCTTCGTATGCATAATTTTCCTCAGTATCTCACAAGAAGCTCACTTGGGCTCTGTCAAAGCAATTCTAATGTTTTAGACCTGCTTGATCTTTCTGAGAGCCTTGGTCTATGCAGTAATTATGCTGTAAGAGTGAAAAACAGTAAACCTTTTATCTGTTTATCTCATATCAGTTATCGCAGTATTGACACTATATATCTTGCCTAGTAGAAACAGCACCTTCCTGTAGCTATTGACTAAAATTCCTCTTTCACTCTAAAATCTATTAGTTATCATTGGGATGGTTTTGTGGGGAGCAAACTATTCAACTGTGACCTGCTACATGACTACTGGACCAGGAATTAAAACTTATTTTTGTGCTGTTCTTTTAGGTTGAAATCAGTCCACTGGAAAATGCAATAGAAACTATGCAGTTAACAAATGATAAGATCAATAATATGATTCAACAACATTTGAATGATGCAGATCTACCTATTAACCCCCTCTCTATGCTACTTAATGGCATTGTGGATCCTGCAGTCATGGGAGGATTCACGAACTATGAAAAGGTATGTTCAAAATTAGCTTTGTTTGGTCAGGGAATCTAATTAAGTGTGTGTGGTGTGTACACGTGCATGAGTAAACTTATGCATTATAGGTCAGTTTTGGAGAGCTAAAATTTTCCACGTCTTGAGAATATTATAAATGGGTGATATTTATAAAGGAATTCTGTGGGTTGAAAAAAGAGAAACAGTGAGGGTTATTAACCATTGGACCAATTTCCCAAGAGGTGTGGTAGATTTCATCATTTGAAATCTTTAAATGAAGATTTGATAACTTTATAAAATTTATGCTTGTAGTTCAACTGAAATGTATTGGAGCTCGTGCAGGTATTACTGGGTGAAATTCTGTGGCCTGTGTTATACTACTTGATCATCTAGTATGACCAGTTGTCTCTTCCTGCCTTAACATCTATGAATTAAAAGTAATTGGGATTAATTTAGTGAAAGTGCATTATTATTATTTATTAGTTAATATACAGTCCATCCAAATATATTTGAATGACTTCAGCTGCTTATCACAGACCTAGTCTGATAAATATATACACATGAGAGCTTAGTATAAAAATGGTGAAAATGTAAAAACTATATTAGTGCCTATTCAAACTGCTGTTACATAGGCAATAAGTTTTTGTAAGATAACTAAGGGAGACATGTGATATGCACTCTTTGACCTGTTATCGGAAGAACTCTTCCAGTCTCCAATATCCCTGGCCTACTTTACCTACATAGGACGCCTAAACCACTGGACACTGATATATAGTATTGTGGAATGTAAATCATGTTGTTATGCTGCAAGACGTATTGTAGGCTTCAAAATTTAACTAATCTTCCTGGTGACCCCCAAAATTGCACTTGGGCACAATACCCATAATTGTCGATGAGGCGGACTAAGCAGAACCCTTCAGCAGTACTTCTTGCTTGACCAGAGGGTTCAGTGATGAGCAACATATGATGATATTCCTCCCCCTACTTTACTGCCCCCAAAGGATGGATATCATGCTCTCAGGCACTATTAAATTGTCATTCATTGCTTTTAATTATGTATTTATAGACATGTTATTACTGATATTTTTAGCAAAATCTTTTGGTTTGATTCATTTTCCTTTGCTATAACTAAAAGCCTTCCTAGATAGTAAATGTTCAATCATTTTCTGAAATAACTGGTACTTTTCTGTTTTCATTAGGCTTTTTTTACTGAAAAATACATGCATGAGCATCCAGAAGATCACGAAAAGATAGAAAAACTAAAGGACCTCATAGCATGGCAGGTAAACTGTCTAATTCAAATCATGCCTGGGCCAAGTGGCCTGCTGTCACTTGTGACAAAATTCAGCCATCAAACCATTCACCCTAGTGTATACATTTCCATGGCATTTAGACTGTCTTGGAACATGAGCTAAAGTTCATCTTTTCAAATCTGACATAGTTTGTCATTTGATAATCTCACAAGTGACTAACATTATTAACCCATTTTTTATTACATAGTCTCTCCTGTTACCAGTTTAGAGATATAAATACACTCTCTCACTTTCAAATGACTCAATACCTTATGATTGTGTTGGCCAATTCTGTTGTAAATTTAGTTCTAATTTTTTCCAGTATAGTGCTAAATTAATAAAGAATTACAATAAAAACTAAATTAAGAGTATTCAAGTCTTACAGTTTAAGAACTCAGAATTTAAATCCCTAGGTTACATGTTCGACCATAAGTCTTTCTCCTTGTGCAAATGCTTTATAATGTTGTCTGTTTACATGATCACTTATTGTCTCTCCAGACAATATATATATAAAACACATTTTTTTCTACAACCACAGATATGCATATGTAGCATTTTGTAGTACTGTATACTGTGTATGACAGATAGTCAATTAAAGTCACGTATACACGAAATGTATAGTAAATGGGCAAGAGTTTCTGCGACGCCTTTGTGTCATTCCCAGCGCACCTTACAAAATTGTAATGTGTGTATGGATGTGTGTAGATAACTAAATATACACATACAGACACACAGATGATACATTATATATTATGATATTTATATATATATAGTGGAACTCTACAGTGCCATTTTTACAATCACTGTTCATAGAAGAAACATACTTTAAATAACTTAAGAGGTGTCACAGGTATTTGTAGTGAAGCAGAAATAGGACCCAGATCTCCAAGTCCTGTGCCTTAAACATAGTATCATCCTTCCTCTGTGAAGAGCTACATTTCTGTCTTCCAAAGAATACATTTCAGGAAAAACAGGAAACCCTATTCTAGCTTTGTTGGAAGGCTGTACTCTGATATTTTTTCGTTGGCCTCAGAATAATTTTATGATAAAAATCCACAGATGTGACTAGAAATGTTTTTACCCAGAAAAAAGTATATTATAGTGTTTTATATTCAATTCTGTCTTTATTATAAATTAAATAATTTAATATCTAGAGGATTCAATTTTAGATGTAGTAGAGACCATAGAGATAAAATTCAAAAATCCTCAAAAGGCCATAAAACTATTGCAGAACAAACACTAGTTTGTTCTGCAAAAGTTTTATTGATTTTTTTAATTGTTGTTGTTCCCCTGTAAGGTTTACTGTAGATTGGATTTTAGGGACTTCAGATTCAAGAGAGGAAAATAATTTGATCCCAAGAGAGTAACTTCATGTCAGCACTGTCATTGCCCCTAATGACCATATTAAAAATGAATTGTATTGGTGCTCATGAACACATTTTACCCCAAAAGAGGATCATCCTGCTGGAAACATGTATTCATTAAAATAAGAATAAACACTGGCAAATGCATTATTTAAAATCTGCAAGTTTTGTTTTGTCAACATGTTTAAAAATACACACAACTTTCTTGTCACCAGTTTAGTTCCAAGTATGATAGAAGCAAAGCAATTTAAAGACAAGAGATTAATACAAACAAATATTTTTCTGAAGCTGTCACCAATAAGTGATAAAATTCAAAAACCAAAAGAAATAATTTTGAAACTACCTGATATAAAATTAGAGTGGTCATGATTCCTAAAACATTTCTGAAAACTTTTTCAAATAGCATAACTTCATAGAAAAGGTGGCAGGTTAAAGAAAACTTTTAAACACTATTTCACATAAGGAACAAGATGGCTCAAGGGACTGGAGAGAGATACAGTATAGAGTCTTTTTCCATTAAATCACTAGTTTGACTTCATCTCCAGCTCAGCAGTAGGTATCTGTTGGCCAATATGAAACACAATAAGTTGGCAGTCTCAGTCCAATTCCTAATAAATAGGTTTCTGTATCTTAACTGAGCATATTATAGGTGCTCAGAGATTTGATATCTCAATATAGATCATTGTGTTAATAAAACGTTATGATATCGAATGTTGACAGTTACCTCCGTGACTATTTTGTTTGTATTGTTGCACCCCTTCACCTTCCCTTTGTCTCATTTGTCTTTTGGAAAACAACCTCTTCAGGGTAGGGATGGTGCCTTCTATTTGGAAAGTGAAAAATAAAACATGTATTTGGAACAGAATACAGTTTTTTTCATTGTATAGTCTTATTTTTAAATATAAGTGTTGGCAGTAAGATAATCATCCTATGCAGTAACTTGTGTGCATGGGCACCACCGGAAACAAGTAATTGGTAATAATCTTTAATTGATACTCTTTAGTTGAAAGGTAATCTTTGTTGAGAGAGAGCGTGAGAGAGAGAGGCCAAAGATTAAGACCTCATTCCTGGATACCTTCGAGGTCAGTGGTCTCCAACCTGTTTACACACAAGATCACTTTTTGAATTTAAGTGCAAACTAGGATCTACCCCGCCCCTTCCCCGAGGCTCCACCCCACTCACTCCTTCTCCCCTTCCTTCGTTGCTTGCTCTCCCCACCCTCACTCACGTTCACTGGGCTGGGGCAGGGGGTTTGGTTTTGGGAGGGGGTGTGGGCTCTGGGCTGAGCCTGGGGCAGAGGGTTTGGGCGCAGGAGGGGGTGAGGGGAACAAGTTCTGGGAGGTAATTTGGGTGCAAGAGGGGGCTCTGGGCTGGGACAGTGTTGGGGTGTAGGAGTACGGAGTATAGGAGGAGTTATGGGGTGCATGCTCTGGAGGGGGCTTAGGGCTTGGGATTGGGGTGCGGGCTCCTGCCGGGTGGCACTTACCTCAGGTCACTCCCTGGCGGCGGTGCAGCGGGGCTAAGGCAGGCTCTCTGCCTTCCCCAGACCCACGCCACTCCCGGAAGGGGCCAACACGCCCCTGCAGCCCCTGTGGGGGAGCACGTGGCTCTGTGCACTACCTCTCTCTAAAGGCACCACCCCTGCAGCTCCCATTGGCCACAGTTCCCCGTTCCCGGCCAATGGGAGCTGCAGGGGTGGTGCTGGCAGGCAGGAGCAGTGCACGGAGACCCCTGCCCCCCTCCCCGCTATACCACCAGACTTTTAGTGGCCAGAGATCGCTATCTCAATGCTTTTTTTGCCTCTGTCTTCACTAACAAGGTCAGCTCCCAGACTGCTGCGCTGGGCATCACAACATGGGGAGTAGATGGCCAGCCCTCTGTGGAGAAAGAGGTGGTTAGGGACTATTTAGAAAAGCTGGACGTGCACAAGTCCATGGGGCCGGACGAGTTGCATCCAAGAGTGCTAAAGGAATTGGCGGCTGTGATTGCAGAGCCATTGACCATTATCTTTGAAAACTCGTGGTGAACGGGGGAAGTCCCAGATGACTGGAAAAAGGCTAATGTAGTGCCAATCTTTAAAAAAGGGAAGAAGGAGGATCCTGGGAACTACAGGCCAGTCAGCCTCACCTCAGTCCCCAGAAAAATCATGGAGCAGGTCCTCAAAGAATCAATCCTGAAGCACTTACATGAGAGGAAAGTGATCAGGAACAGTCAGCATGGATTCACCAAGGGAAGGTCATGCCTGACTAATCTAATCACTTTCTATAATGAGATTACTGGTTCTGTGGATGAAGGGAAAGCAGTGGATGTATTGTTTCTTGACTTTAGCAAAGCTTTTGACACGGTCTCCCACAGGATTCTTGTCAGCAAGTTAAAGAAGTATGGGCTGGATGAATGCACTATAAGGTGGGTAGAAAGTTGGCTAGATTGTCAGGCTCAACGGGTAGTGATCAATGGCTCCATGTCTAGTTGGCAGCCGGTGTCAAGTGGAGTGCCCCAGGGTTTGGTCCTGGGGCCGGTTTTGTTCAATATCTTCATAAATGATCTGGAGGATGGTGTGGATTGCACTCTCAGCAAATTTGCGGATGATACTAAACTAGGAGGAGTGGTAGATACGCTGGAGGGCAGGGATAGGATACAGAGGGACCTAGACAAATTGGAGGATTGGGCCAAAAGAAATCTGATGAGGTTCAATAAGGATAAGTGCAGGGTCCTGCACTTAGGACGGAAGAACCCAATGCACAGCTACAGACTAGGGACCGAATGGCTAGGCAGCAGTTCTGTGAAAAAGGACCTAGGGGTGACAGTGGACGAGAAGCTGGATATGAGTCAGCAGTGTGCCCTTGTTGCCAAGAAGGCCAATGGCATTTTGGGATGCATAAGTAGGGGCATAGCGAGCAGATCGAGGGACGTGATCATTCCCCTCTATTCGACATTGGTGAGGCCTCATCTGGAGTACTGTGTCCAGTTTTGGGCCCCACACTACAAGAAGGATGTGGATAAATTGGAGAGAGTCCAGCGAAGGGCAACAAAAATGATTAGGGATCTGGAATACATGACTTATGAGGAGAGGCTGAGGGAACTGGGATTGTTTAGTCTGCAGAAGAGAAGAATGAGGGGGGATTTGATAGCTGCTTTCAACTACCTGAGAGGTGGTTCCAGAGAGGATGGTTCTAGACTATTTTCAGTGGTAGAAGAGGACAGGACAAGGAGTAATGGTCTCAAGTTGCAGTGGGGGAGGTTTAGGTTGGATATTAGGAAAAACTGTTTCACAAGGAGGGTGGTGAAACACTGGAATGCGTTACCTAGGGAGATGGTAGAATCTCCTTCCTTAGAAGTTTTTAAGGTCAGGCTTGACAAAGCCCTGGCTGGGATGATTTAATTGGGGATTGGTCCTGCTTTGAGCAGGGGGTTGGACTAGATGACCTCCTGAGGTCCCTTCCAACCCTGATACTCTATGATATTCTATGATCGACTGGGAGAGTCTCCAGGATCGACCAGTCAGTCATGATCTACAGGTTGGTGACCACTGTTCTCAGTCTCAAAATTGGCACTACTCTCTGGAGAGGCCCCTACAGAACAGGGTGGAAGTACAGAGAGATGGAGCAATGTGTGGGGAAAATTCAGTGGCTTTACTTAAATTGTGGATGAGAACTTCATTTTTCAGTGCTTCCATGTAGTCTGGTGCCTTCTGTTAATGTGTACTTCAAGCTACTACCCTAAATTAGTACCGTGTAAAACAGTCACAGCAAAAACATCCAAACTTCGGGTGTTTGAACATTATTTCAAATTCATGAAAATCCTATGAAATGCCATGGTATTTATCTCATGGGAAATGACTGTGCTGCTCAACCATTAATATTCTAGTTTTTGTATCTATTGTATTTTTATATCTACAATATTCATTTTAGATGTTTATTTTTGTCTAATTTTGTGCCTTTTCACTTCCTAGAAAAATTAGATCCTGTCGTTTTATTTGACAGTATCATTTAGATCTGAAATAGGCTGTTTCATCACCACATGACAGTAATGAAGTTCATCTCAGTGCAATAGTCACTCAACTTCTAGCCATTATACTTAGAGCATACCAAGACTAGTACACAGCACAAAGAATTATTTCTGTACCCTTCCCATACCGGTGAAAGGAATTACAGCATACAACATGCACAGTTTAAAAAAAATCCCTTTCTTGTAAAATTTTCATAGAATTGGTGTGATTTTATTGATAGCTTTCTGTTTAAACCAAAACCCAGAACCCCTATCTGTAGTACATTATGGAATGATATTAAGAAGTCATGGCAGCTAGAGCCATGATAAACTTTTAAAAAGAGAGGATAAGGAAAAATATATTATGGCATAAATAATATATGGATACATTATGGTTTTTTTTGTTTGTTTGATTTTTGTTTCTTCCCCCCTCCCCCCATCTTTAATGTTTAGATATGTGCTTATTTTTTCATTTATTACATTACAATAAGACCACTTATCTAAAGCTCTGGCACCCTTCACAATCCTTTAAAATATGTCAATAAATAAACTGATCATTTCTCTAAGGTCAAATAACTTGGCAACAACATAACATTCAATTAACCCCCGCCCCCTTGCCTTACACACACATACCCCTTATCAAAATTCTATACCACTGCTAACCAGACCTACCTGTCTCCTTTTGGGCAAGAGAGAAAAGATGGTCCTTGCAACATTAGGATTTGAGGCACTGTAGTAGGTCAGTTTCTCTTGGAAGAGCAATTGAAGACAAAATGTACACAAGTGCTGGTTACCTTGAAAAGAGGTGGTCAAAACTGCACAAAACAATTCTACTTTCAGAAACCCAAACTAAGACACCATCAAGTTCTTAAATTCAGCCCTGTTCATATTGGGCTCTGTCTTCCTTGTTTCCTTGCTCTCAGGCATATCTGGTCTTCTCTGCGAATTTTGCTTAGCAAACCCTTTAATCCAATGTCATTAAGCTCTGGATGCAAGGTGCTCATGTTCTCAAAACTAGCCTGGACTTGTTCAGACAGGCTTGGCTGCTAATCTTCCTTGTTCAGCTGCTCTTGAACATCAAGGAACTTCACACAGGTTTGACTATATCCATTGGCATCTGCTAGTCTCCATCATAACTAAAGAGAATGCTTAACCCATACTCTCCCCCCACCAACATATGCACTGCAAACTAAAGTAGGCTGCTGCAAAAATATATTTATACATTTTAAGATATGTTGCCCAAGTCGTCCCATTCTCTTATAGCGAAGAAAAACAAATGAGCCAATGCACTCCTTAGTTGGCCCGCGGGGAACTGAGATTCATTTATTGTAGACAGAAAATTAGGAACAAGACCATTCTAAAGTTTTTTTTTTTTTTTTGCTACTGAGTACAAATCCATATGGATTATAAATAAAAGTGGATAGAGTAGAAATATTGTATTTGTGTTGTAGAAATATTGTATTTTTTTGAAGAGTGCCAAGAGAAGCAACAGCTGTGTGCCGTTAAATAGCACAAAATGCATTTATTCATGGATTCATCTTGATAAGATTTCTTAAATTTGTTCACATGTAATTTAATTGTGTACTTCTTATCCTCCTTACTAATAAGTCTGCTCATTTAGATTGCTGATCCGTCATATTAGAAAAATCTGTTTTTAATCAGTATTACAGTTTAATTATGAATTATTAAGAGGAAACCTCTTAGCTTGATTGCTGCAAAGAATATCTGACTCAGAACCAGAGCACTGTGTATCTGGAAAAGGAAATATTTTTCTTAAACATGAGAAAGACCTACTATTAGATTCTTCTGTGTTGCTGTGGGAATGAAAATGTCTCTCTTTAAACATTTTAAAAGGTCAGCTATACCTCCACACTATGAACTAATTATATAACCTTGTGTTGGCATGGATATTTTGTGACACAGCCTTGCAGATAAATTATTATTTTCAGTTATAAAAGAGAATTAATTTATTCTCACCGCCACCCCTCACCTCACTCTCTACTAAAAATCATTGAAAACTCAATTTACGATGAAAAATATTGTCATTTTTGGTATGTAAATCTGTATGTTTTCTTAACAAATATGTGGTGTACAATATCTTAAGATTTTTTTTCATGGTAACACAGGGTTTCCAAAATAGCATGTGTTAAACAGAAATAGATGTGAAGATTGTTTTTCTCTGCTATTTATTCCCATGAAACCTGGTGGGGCTGATATTAATAGTGTAGCTCAGTGATACTCAGGCTCGCAAGTGGCTCTTTAATGTGTCTCCTGCAGCTCTTTGCAGCACGTGATATTAAAACACTGTGATTTAATTATTAACCAATCAGGACGCTTTTAATATGTTATTGACCAATTGTAGTTGATAAAATTATAATACTTGGTCAGTCATTTTGCTGTGAGAATTATATATATATATATATAAAAACTACATATTTCCCATCTTACTGTTTAAATATGAATATGTAGTACTATAGTAAATGAAACAGTGAATTCACACAACTGTGGCTCTTTTGGGTAATATGGATTGCTAATTTGGCCCCTGAACCACTGAGGTCTGAGTATCATTGGTCTAGCTTTTGAGTCAAATTTAAAGTACAGTATGTATGAGGGGTTTTTAAACATAAAATAAAGGGGTATTTGTTCAACCTGATAAATTTAGCTGTACCTTATAATTGCTTGGCAGAATTATTCGTACATTCATTTTAAATGACTATGCGCAACACAGAGTGAAAATGAAATCAAATATAGTACCAAAAATCACCATGTTCTGCTTTAGTTGCTATTAGTGTTCCATAAAAATCTCATATTCCTCTTAGAAGCCTACTTCTAAGTATATTTAAAGTCCCCCTTGCTCTACTTCCTTTTATGAGAGAAGACCAGAAAATTCATCATCATCTAATTGTATTCTTTAGATTCCATTCCTGGCAGAAGGTATCCGAATTCATGGAGAGAAAGTAACTGAAGCGCTAAGGCCATTTCATGAGAGAATGGAGGCCTGTTTTAAGCAGCTTAAAGAAAAAGTGGAAAAGCAATACGGTATCAGAACAATTGTAAGTTGTCTCCAAACCTGACATTTAAAAAAGTATCTGTCTTTGGAATTGCTGTAATTCACATTTCAGTCATTAAATGAATATATAGAAAAAACAGTTTTAATAGAGTGTGATTAAGAATCTTAAGGGATATATGGTTTTTCATTTTGTTTTGGTGGTGTGGTGCTGGTGTATTTAAACTCATTTTTAGACAGAGGTTTATTTCTCTTAACGTCCCTAAAATTGTCCACGTCGGTAGTCGCATGAAAGTGTAGTGACTTGCCTTGTGTTGCACATCAAATGAGTATCTCTTCTAAGATTAGAATATAATATCTTTCTGGTTTCTAGGTTTTTGTCCTGTACTATATGCCCATCCAGAAGGTTGTCTTCTGAAGCATAGTTATATATCAGTGGCTTCAACAGGTACCTTTGTCTGTAACTATGCTAGATGAATAGGTCTTCTTGGTTAATTTACCTCTGGACTAGCAATTGTAGCTTAGAGCATTGGGCCCAGCTAAAGACTTCACTTAAATTGTCAGTGCTTAGGAGAAGTGGACAAATGTCCCAAAAAACATTCAAAAACTCTTATCAACACGACTCCTCAGCATAAAAGACTTACCCTAAAATACCAGGATCTGTCCATTGGAAATCAACATAGTCCTTCAAAGTGTTCAGGTTTTAAGGATCTTTTACATAGGTTACAATCTCTAGGAGTTTCTGATATCTTTGAAGCTTTTGTTCTTTGAAGTCAGAGGTTCATATCAAGGAATATCACAGAGTGTCACTTCCAAAGCTAGTTCTAAGGCTTTTTAAAATGTTTTTTCAATAAGTCAGGGCCCTGTATCTGCAGATTCTCAGCAATGACTTGTTGCTATTAAGTACACTGCATCCTTGACCTTACTTGTAAATCTCAGGCTACAAGGAGGAGGGATAGCTCAGTGGTTTGAGTATTGGCCTGCTAAACCCAGGCTTGTGAGTTCAATCCTTGAGGGGGCCATTTAGGGATCTGGGGCAAAAATTGGGGATTGGTCCTGCTTTGAGCAGGGGGTTGGACTAGATGACCTCCTGAGGTCCCTTCCAACCCTGATATTCTATGATTCTACTATGACTCCAAACTGTATTTCAGGAGAGCGGGGGGGGATGTAGATTGTTCGCAGTGGATGGTCCTCAGTACTGTAGTTTGCACTCTCCCAACATGAGCAAATCATTTTTGGCCACCCTTCTGTCTCAGCTTCAAGATGCAGCCAGAAATTTTGAAAGTCCCCTTACACTTTGAACCTTGTTGATTAAAGGGGGTTAGTTAGTAGAGAGGTTTTGTTTTTGTTTAAGACTGAGTGTTGCTGCTTAGTGCAGAGAGTGTTTCAAGTGCTGGCTCTTGCAGCCTGCATGTAGGTTCTTAATCGAGAATGTATTTTGAAAGCCGTAAGTGCACTTGGAGATTATGCAAAGCGGGCACATGTTTTATAAATAAATTTTAAAAATTCAGTAACATACAAGTAAAGAGTTAGAGTTAACCTTAGGACTGACTGTGCTGGGATTTGTGTTCTGAAAGTATGTTGAAGGCTTCTGTTCCAACTCTTATGCCTTGTATATGAGTAGCATTGACAGACTCAGAATCAAAACCTCCGTCAATGTTATAAATATTCGTTAACCTTGTTGTAGGTCTTGGTTAGATTTGTAATGAAAAAGAAAGACTTATATGAAACTTACATCCACTGTACACTCTTTTCCCCTTGTTATGGTTTAAAAAGACAAACAAAATAAATACATGAATGTGTTCAGTATTTATCAGAAATATAAGTGAATCTATACCAGTGAGTGAATAAACTCAGATTTTGTCTACTTCTTTATGTTGACATGCATTGTTCATCTTGGTCCCAAATGGCTAACTAGATTTCAAGCTGTAGTAACCACACAAATAGCTCATGAAAAAAGAAATTAAGGGAGAATCTACTCAACAATTTGATAAGATGTGACCTTGTAGCGAAATATGATTTGTCTCCAAGAAAGCAAATATCAGAAATTGCTTAAGAAAGTAAATATTTTCCCAGAAATTGTAAAGAATAATTTCAAGCAAGAGAAAATGTACACTAATAATTGAACCTTTCAGAAACTCCCCCACAAGAAACAATTAATATATTTGTAAGATTGCGCAAATGCATTTCCTATCAACAAGACCATTAAAAATAAGGAAAATCGCCAGTTGAAGAAACATTAACTACTACATTGTTCTGCAGGCAGCCCAGCTTGCCAGTGTATGCTTCTGGTTCCCAAGCTGCCTGGCTGCAATCTGTACTCCAACTCTGGCTTCCTGCCTAGTTCTGTGGCATACTGTAGGGAGCATGAATGGTAATCCAGCTAACTCCCCATTAGAAGGAAAGCTGATGAGTAAGACACAGTAGCAGGCAGATCCCAGCAGGGCAAGGAGACAAAACAAAATATTGAATGCATGGCTGCAGCAGAATGATGAATTCCATGGTGAAATGTTGATGTTTGTGGAGCTTGGAAAAAGCCAGATTCCACAGTCACCCCACTTGGGATGATTGGGGACAGTTCATGCCCTTAGAGTTATTATATCAGGTAGTCTGCATACTTAGGCAGAAGTCACTGCAGTGGTTTACATTCGGTTCATGTTTTGAAGGTTATCTCTGCAACCATAAGGGCTAGAGCCATAATTATTTAAAAATGGAAATTCTGAATTTGGAGCATTATTCTGCAGTATTGGGTGAATTTCACAGCTGCAGAATAAACAGGACTCCCTCTATTCCATTTTTGAACTTTGTATGGACCTGTAAAGAGGATTAATCAGACAGGAGCTCCCAACAGGTCTGAGATTTTGGGTAGCCCTTACCAGAGGCAGCACAAGATGTGGTTCATTAATCCCACCCCACCGCACAGTGCACACCCATGAAAGAGCTAGCCACAGCCTAGTCCTTAGTGAATAACGATTGAAACACTAATAGGAAAATTTTGCAAAGAAGTCTGTTAAAGGTTAATTCTAGGGTGATTCCACCACTAGAAAGCGCAGCTTGACATTATGTCCCTTGTATGAAAAAGGCAAACTGTAATTCATGGAATGTGTAACCTAAACATATTATATCCAAGATTCAGTGCACCAAATTCTGATCGTCGTTACGATGGATTTACAGCACTGTATGTCCAGTGATGGTGCTACTCCAGATTGACACTTGTGGAATTGGGATCAGGATCTGGCCCTGAATTTCTTTTATTACTGGGGATCACACAGGTGTTTAGATTGTGTATTTTAAACACACTAAGTCAGAATTCTTGCTGTGCCAGATTTCCACTGGGCATAGTAGAGTGGGACAACAGGGATCTGGTCATAGCTCTCGGATTCTTTGATCAGTGCCAGTGTAGCTTAGCACATCCTGGGCTAGGTGCCAACAGTCCCCAAGAGAACAAATGCCAGCTGAAGATAGCAAGAACACAGCACACGCTAGCCACACCAACTCTCTGTCCTGACTAAACATCCTACTCTGGGAGTCTGTGGGATGAGTGGCATGAGAGCCTGTGCACCAGGGGAATCCCCAGAAGCACAAGGGGAGCAGAATGGGCCGATGAATTTGACTATGACAGCCCTGACTTCAGAAACTCATTTTCAGATCCTTCTATAGTGGTGATATTTTTAAGGTAATGACATATTTAGAGGAGAGAGAAATCCTATCTGAAGCTTACCAGCCTTGATAGTATCCTTGTAAATGTTGTTCCCTTTATGGTCCTTAAATCCCTGCTTGATATGTTTGATGCACTGTGCCTCTAAATAGTAATTTATTCCCAAGGAGAAACGAGATATTGACATAAATTATACTTATGTGTCACTTGCTTCAGTCATACACATTAACATTGTCAAAGAGATGACTGGAAAGTCAGACCCAGTTGGTGTTATCTTCCCAGTGTCACTCTGATCCACTACTAAGAATTGATGGAATTTTATCACTTCTGTCTTTCTTGTACAATGCCAGCTTAGCAGTAGTTGACAGTGTGGAAAAGCTACCTGTGACTAAACAGCAGGAGATTCTTATTTTTGTCTGAAAGTTCAATTATTTTATGCATATATCAGTTATTAATGACTAGCAAAGCTTGTATAAATATTTAGAACTATAAAAGAGCATCTGCATAAAAAACGACATTTAAATATTTTCTTCTCAACCTAGATGTCACTCCGTGAAAGTGGCTCTGTTAACAGCAATACCATATTTGTGGTTTTTTAAAAACTTTGGTTCATTATAGCTGTTACTCAGTGCTGGAATACACTAGGGTACCAGTAGCATGCCACATGCACCACAACTTGGAGGAAACTGTAGGCGGTTCAACATCTAGGCGTTGTCGGTGCTGGTAGCCCTGGTGAGTCCCAGTAACCATTCAGACACATAGAATCATAGAATATCAGGGTTGGAAGGGACCCCTGAAGGTCATCTAGTCCAACCCCCTGCTTGAAGCAGGACCAATTCCCAGTTAAATCATCCCAGCCAGGGCTTTGTCAAGCCTGACCTTAAAAACCTCTAAGGAAGGAGATTCTACCACCTCCCTAGGTAACGCATTCCAGTGTTTCACCACTCTCTTAGTGAAAAAGTTTTTCCTAATATCCAATCTAAACCTCCCCCACTGCAACTTGAGACCATTACTCCTCGTTCTGTCATCTGCTACCATTGAGAACAGTCTAGAGCCATCCTCTTTGGAACCCCCTTTCAGGTAGTTGAAAGCAGCTATCAAATCCCCCCTCATTCTTCTCTTCTGCAGGCTAAATAATCCCAGCTCCATCAGCCTCTCCTCATAAGTCATGTGTTCTAGACCCCTAATCATTTTTGTTGCCCTTCGCTGGACTCTCTCCAATTTATCCACATCCTTCTTGTAGTGTGGGGCCCAAAACTGGACACAGTACTCCAGATGAGGCCTCACCAATGTCGAATAGAGGGGAACGATCACGTCCCTCGATCTGCTCGCTATGCCCCTACTTATACATCCCAAAATGCCACTGGCCTTCTTGGCAACAAGGGCACACTGCTGACTCATATCCAGCTTCTCGTCCACTGTCACCCCTAGGTCCTTTTCCGCAGAACTGCTGCCTAGCCATTCGGTCCCTAGTCTGTAGCGGTGCATTGGATTCTTCCATCCTAAGTGCAGGACCCTGCATTTATCCTTATTGAACCTCATCAGATTTCTTTTGGCCCAATCCTCCAATTTGTCTAGGTCCTTCTGTATCCTATCCCTCCCCTCCAGCGTATCTACCACTCCTCCCAGTTTAGTATCATCCGCAAATTTGCTGAGAGTGCAATCGACACCATCCTCCAGATCATTTATGAAGATATTGAACAAAACCGGCCCCAGGACCGACCCTTGGGGCACTCCACTTGATACCGGCTGCCAACTAGACATGGAGCCATTGATCACTACCCGTTGAGCCCGACAATCTAGCCAGCTTTCTACCCACCTTATAGTGCATTCATCCAGCCCATACTTCCTTAACTTGCTGACAAGAATACTGTGGGAGACCGTGTCAAAAGCTTTGCTAAAGTCAAGAAACAATACATCCACTGCTTTCCCTTCATCCACAGAACCAGTAATCTCATCATAAAAGGTGATTAGATTAGTCAGGCATGACCTTCCCTTGGTGAATCCATGCTGGCTGTTCCTGATCACTTTCCTCTCATGCAAGTGCTTCAGGATTGATTCTTTGAGGACCTGCTCCATGATTTTTCCAGGGACTGAGGTGAGGCAAACTGGCCTGTAGTTCCCTGGATCCTCCTTCTTCCCTTTTTTAAAGATTGGCACTACATTAGCCTTTTTCCAGTCATCCGGGACTTCCCCCGTTCGCCACGAGTTTTCAAAGATAATGGCCAATGGCTCTGCAATCACAGCCGCCAATTCCTTCAGCACTCTCGGATGCAACTCGTCCGGCCCCATGGACTTGTGCACGTCCAGCTTTTCTAAATAGTCCCTAACCACCTCTATCTCCACAGAGGGCTGGCCATCTCTTCCCCATTTTGCGATGCCCAGCGCAGCAGTCTGGGAGCTGACCTTGTTAGTGAAAACAGAGGCAAAAAAAGCATTGAGTACATTAGCTTTTTCCACATCCTCTGTCACTAGGTTGCCTCCCTCATTCAGTAAGGGGCCCACACTTTCCTTGGCTTTCTTCTTGTTGCCAACATACCTGAAGAAACCCTTCTTGTTACTCTTGACATCTCTTGCTAGCTGCAGCTCCAGGTGCGATTTGGCCCTCCTGATATCATTCCTATATGCCCGAGCAATATTTTTATACTCTTCCCTGGTCATATGTCCAACCTTCCACTTCTTGTAAGCTTCTTTTTTATGTTTAAGATCCGCTAGGATTTCACCATTAAGCCAAGCTGGTCGCCTGCCATATTTACTATTCTTTCGACTCATCGGGATGGTTTGTCCCTGTAACCTCAACAGGGATTCCTTGAAATACAGCCAGCTCTCCTGGACTCCTTTCCCCTTCAAGTTAGTCCCCCAGGGGATCCTGGCCGTCCGTTCCCTGAGGGAGTCGAAGTCTGCTTTCCTGAAGTCCAGGGTCCGTATCCTGCTGCTTACCTTTCTTCCCTGCGTCAGGATCCTGAACTCAACCAACTCATGGTCACTGCCTCCCAGATTCCCATCCACTTTTGCTTCCCCCACTAATTCTACCCGGTTTGTGAGCAGCAGGTCAAGAAAAGCGCCCCCCTTAGTTGGCTCCTCTAGCACTTGCGCCAGGAAATTGTCCCCTACGCTTTCCAAAAACTTCCTGGATTGTCTATGCACCGCTGTATTGCTCTCCCAGCAGATATCAGGAAAATTAAAGTCACCCATGAGAATCAGGGCATGCGATCTAGTAGCTTCCGTGAGCTGCTGGAAGAAAGCCTCATCTACCTCATCCCCCTGGTCCGGTGGTCTATAGCAGACTCCCACCACTACATCACTCTTGTTGCACACACTTCTAAACTTAATCCAGAGACACTCAGGTTTTTCTACAGTTTCGTACCGGAGCTCTGAGCAGTCATACTGCCCCCTTACATACAGTGCTACTCCCCCACCTTTTCTGCCCTGCCTGTCCTTCCTGAACAGTTTATAACCATCCATGACAGTACTCCAGTCATGTGAGTTATCCCACCAAGTCTCTGTTATTCCAATCACGTCATAGTTCCTTGACATCACCAGGACCTCCAGTTCTCCCTGCTTGTTTCCAAGGCTTTGTGCATTCGTTTATAAGCACTTGAGATAACCTGTTGATCATGGCTAAGGGAAAGGTTATTTTTTGTGGAACTGACAGGAAAGGGAAAGATTGCAAATACCCTAGGTACAGAGGCTTAATAGTTGTAGTAAAAAGTGTATTAAGTGTAATAATGGTAAATGTTTCAGTCCCTAGGGGGCAGTCCAATTGAGAATTGGGGCTCTTTAGGCCTGCTAGTGCCTCTCCAGTCCAATCTCTGCTCAATGCAAATAGGACCTTGCAGGTCTCCAAGCCAGGCTCAGTTAGAGTCTATCATTGGGGCCCCTCTGCAATGGCTTCCTGCCTAGCCACTGCTGCTCCCCCATAAATCCCACACAAGCCTGCACCCAGGTGTAATGTCTGGCAGTCACAGCCTGTTCCACAGATGGCTCTCCATATTGTTCCTGTTTTCAACTTCTCTCCAACTTCCTGTTTCCAGGTGGCCACTGCTTCAGTTGACCTCAGCTCCTGGCTTCCTTGCGGCCACTGCTTCCAACCACAGCCCAGCCACTTCCTGGTTCTCAGGGCCTTTCCCCTTACCTGGCCAGAAGAGTGGGAAGTGCAAGGGGTGAGGAGGAGCTGTTGGGCGTTGTAGTCCCCTGCCTTGCAGAGCCATACCTGTGTTTAAAATTAAGCATATGCTTAAGTTCTTTCCTGAATCAGGGCCTGTTTGCATTTTTTCTTAAATATATCTAGTAACAGTATCTGTGTGATTATAAATTTCTTGTAACTGAAATAGCATAAAATTCTAGGTGGAAAAAAAGCATTTAACCATTCAGCATTACATGATAATGACTCACAAATTTCAGGTTGTGTTCTAAAAAGAATAAGATCATATTTTTCTTTGTTGTAGCCCTCAAGTTTGGATGACAGACGAGGCAGTCGGCCAAGGTCTATGGTTCGATCATTCACAATGCCTTCATCTTCAAGACCTTTATCTGTTGCATCAGTATCATCTGTCTCGTCAGATAGTACCCCTTCCAGACCTGGCTCTGATGGGTAAGTAAGGTATAACAATTAAGAGCTTGTAATTGTGGAGAAAGATTCAGCATGCAAATCCTTACTGGGTTGTGAGAAGCTGTCAGCACCTGATTACACTTTAATTACAAACATATAGTATATTGCATGTGTTATCTTAGTTCTTTGTTTTATAAAGTTACCAATATGAGCAAATAAAACTCAAGTACATTTATTTTGAGCAAATTGTTTCTATACTGAAAGCAGTTTCGGGTATGCATGTCGGGAGACCTGGGTCTTATTAGAAATTTGGCATTTTAGAAAATTCTTTCCCTCCCTCCTCAGCAGTGATACTTCCATCTCTCTAAAACGGACTACCACTGAGAAGAAAAGCATTGTTTTTTTAACAAATATGATCATTTCTTAAAAGAATCTTGTTTTTCCTCAATGCTGATTTCAAGATACACTATTTGACTTTAATTGGGGCTGTCGATTAATTGCAGTTTAAATTGCACTGTTAAACAATAGAATACCAATTGAAATTTGTTAAATATTTTTGATGTTTTTCAACATTTTCAAATATATTGATTTCAGTTACAACACAGAATACAAATTGTACCATCACTTTGTTATTTTATTACAAATATTTGCACTATAAATATGATAAAAATAGTATTTTTCAATTCACCTCATACAAGTACTGTGGTGCAATCTCTTTATCGTGAAAGCACAACTTAAAAATGTAACTACGCTCAAAAATAAAACAATGTAAAACTTTAGAGCCTACAAGTCCACTCAGTCCTACTTCTTGTAGAGCCAATCACTAAGAGAAACAAGTTTGTTTACATTTATGGGAGATAATGCTGCCCACTTCTTATTTACAATGTCACCTGAAAGTGAGAACAGACATTCACATGGCACTTTTATAGCCAGCATTGCAAGGTATTTACATGCCAGATGTCCTAAACATTCATATGCCCCTTCATGCTTTGTCTACCAGGTGCAGATTGGGGTAAGGCAGGGTTTAGCTGCAAAAAAGTGAAGCTTTGTGGTAGGATTGCTCTTCATCACCAGAAAATGACTTAAAAGAAAACTATATCTATAGCAGGCTCGGGGGGAAACTGGCTGTGTGCTGCCACCATAAAAGTGTCATTCTCTTTGTTTCTCACTCCTCACATTACTCTTTCCATATCTGCATATTTGGCTCTTCTCTCCTCATTTAAGCCTTTTACATTTTTGCCTCTTTCAGCTTTTTCCATTCTGCACCTCTACCCCAGCTCTGCCGTTGTACATACCATTTGGCAGGCTGCATGTTTGTGGCGGGGGGCACACATGTTGAGGACAGTTTGTCTGGGATTATTCCACTGGAATCCGTTTTCCTTTGTTCTCCTTCTCCACTCCGTTTCCTTTTTAATCCTGCTTCATAGAGGTTGTGCAATTCAGAAGAAAGCTCTATAATGCAAGTCATCTTCTTTATGTAAGCTTTTTACACGTGGAACTATTACAAAGAATTACAGGTACAATTTTCTTTTATAGCCATGTAGGTTGGTCCCTCCCCTTCCCCTTAAGTCAGCTGTGCCTGCGAACTCAGTGGAGCCTGAACAGAAAAGTGAAACTAACAAGGCTCATTTTGCAGCTCAGCTGACACAGTGAACCGAGCAGCAAGGCAGTTTAATAAATATCACGACAACCTACTGGATACACTTCATCACCAGAAAAAAAAACACTTAGTTTTGAAGCTCACTGTGAAATAGGGCCTGATCCAAGGCTCATTGAAATTAATGGGAGTTTTTCAATTTATTTTAATGTACTTTGGCTCAGGCTCATAGTGCCTTGGAAAGTTGAACATACCTATAGTTTAATATGCACAAAGACCTTTGTCTGACTTTTGCCAGGCTGTACATCTGCCATGTTCTGGGTTGCAATTCAGACCAGTGAGAGGTTGTGTCACCACTTGTCCTGTAATCCTGAGTGCCTTAAATGCTGTAGCTCCTTGTCTGGATGCTCCCAGTAAGCATACAAGAATGCACTGAGTGTCTGTGTGCTGGGCAACCGTGGTTCATTACTCTGACCCCAGCAGCCTGCCTACAACACAACAGCCCCATCCTGGTCTTAGCCAGCCTTGGTTACTAATTGCAGGGTGACCCCAACATGCCCTCTGTCCCTAATTTCCCCAAAACCATCTGTCCTGAACTGTCCAGCCCTCTCCTAGAACACTGAGATTTAATAATGTCTGTTGCTCCTTTAAAGAGACAAAATCACAGCAACTTGTTGCCTTAACTGAACTTAACATTCACTTCAATACAAGCATAACACTGGGTTGGTTTAGATTAAAAGTAAAACAAGTTTATTAACAAAGAGAGGTTTTAAGTGAGTTCAAGTACAAGGGATAAAGACAAAATGGTTACAAGCAAATAAAAGAAAATATGCTGTCTAGTGGCTAAGACTTAACTAAATAAGCTACAGCCTTGGTTGGTACAAGGTAGATTTCTTACCGATCTTTCTTCTTTCCATGATGGACTTTCAGTTAGGACCTTGGGCTTGTGCATTTTAGGAACATAATTCTAGCACATACCCTTAACTTTTTGTACACACCCTGTACATATGTCATGCAAGACTATTAATGATCAGTGAGGAGTTAGTTTTCAGTGATATCTTACATGACGCCTTTTAGTTACAGATTGACAAGAGTGTGTTAAGTTTAATGAGTATGTCAGGCCTGATGAGAGCTGCTGATACAGAATAGTGAACCGCAAATGGGTCTTTGTGTCACAACCTCACATTTAATCCAAATATCTGTAAGGGTGGTGTGGTGGGTGAAGTTATGTGAACACCTTTCAGAGTTTAACTGCAAACGCCTTATGTATTTCTGTCTTCATTTTGGTGCCATTTCCTTACTACATTCAGCTGCTAAATGGTCATATGGGTAAACTGGGAGGTCTAGAAAGGTCTTAATTTGTTTAATTACACAGTTAATACAGGTTTTTACTTGTAATAAAAGGGAAATAGGGGTTTTTTTGGGGAGAAGTTGCTCATTACACTCCTAAAAGGGTATTCAGTATAGGCGCCCTGCTGACTTCAAGTAAACCTAGAGCTAGCTGTTACACTCCTCCATGGGGAGAACAAGTGAATATGATTTTGCTGGGTCTGCAATCTCATGAAAAATTACTTGAGGTTAAGTAGTAAAACTCACATAACTTCTCCAAACAGAGACTGGGGAATATTATGTCACCACCTACACCAATGCAATTTAATCAAAGTCATAAAGGTGGCACAGATGTTAATGCCTAATTCCCATTAAAATCAATTGAAAGATTCCTATGGACTTCAATGGGAGTTGGATCTTTATTTGTGTGAGAAGTCCAGCTAGGCCCATTAATCCACCAATGAACTGAGCGTCAGAAGTTTGGCCTTTCAGGAGACATGCTACTACAAACAGTTCTACCCATGGCTTGGAGATCAAAACGTTTGAAGATTCTTTGACTTGGGAAAAAATGGGTCTTTTCAGAAGTCACTATTTTAGAAAAATGCTTTTAATTGGAACAGTATTTTGGACATTTAATACAGAACCGATCGGAAACAAAATCAATATGTAGTTATAAAAACATGCTTGAAAGGACACTTTTTTCTTTCAAACAGTAGTGACACCTAAAATTGCCTGATGTCTAAGAAGGTGAAAGTGTATGGTTTCCTGTAAGGTCCACACCAAACTTTGTTATTTTGGGCTCTTAAATTGTTTATAGGTATCGATATTGATACATGTAAATGTTGGTACTCACCAATAATTATACATGTGTGTATTTTAAGCTGAATGTGAATAGGAAGTACCAGGTAATGGTAGGAAGCATGGATATGGTGAGAGGAGCATATTAAGGACCAGGACCATGGGAATGTGGAACAGGGTGGGGGGGCATGGAGCAAGTATGGTGACAGTCTGGTCTGTTCATTGACGGCATTGAGTGGAACAGGGCTCTGCAGAGGGATGTGGGAGTGGATGATACCTCTATGTGGGGGGCCATTAAGTGAAATCGAGGTGGTGGGCATGAAATATAATAGGGCTTTTCATTGTTTGAGAGGTGGAGGGGGCATATCAGTGTTGATAGCTAACCATGCTTATTAAAGCCCTTGAAAATTCAACTAAACAAAAAACTTTAACTTAGAGGTAAGGTTGTTGAAGTGCAAAGCCCATCTGTTCATTCTCTTTAAAAAAAAAAACAAATAAATAAATAAAATAAAATAAATAAATAATAATCAAGGAAATCACCAGTTAAGCTAACATTCATATTCACACCAATCTCAATCACACCCAAACATCATAACACCAAAATGCACCCACAGTCCATAAGTACAATATCAAACTTACTTGTAATTCTAATGTACAACCAGGCACAATACAAACATCATCTGAGTTCTCAAAATGATACTCAAATGCAAAACCTTATCTCTGACTGCATGCTTCCTCTTGGACAAATAACACATTCTATAGACTTAAAATTGTATGTATATCTATCAATAAAGTATCTGAATCTGACTGAGGTTCGAGCAAAGTTTTCCATGTGAGTGATTTCAGGGAATTAGATACGATTTTGTCAGTAGTTAAGGAATTATATATTAATTTGATATATAAGGTTTGATCGCATCCTGAAAGAAAAATAAGAAAGACATTCAGAATTGTACTTTAAGGCACTAGAAGCAACATTTTTTTATTAAATATTTAATGTTTCCCATTGGAAAGTGAGATTCCCAAAGAATGCTTTAATGTACAAACACTAACCAGTGCTTGTTTTGCAGAAGTATTTTTCTTTAAGAATCATCTACATTGTAAACTGTTCTCCATTTTAATCATAAATAGAGTTGTAGAGAAATAGGTTACATTAGAGTATACAATGCTGGATTAACATTAGTGGAGAAAGTTTTTGACTAAACAAATTAGACGATGGAAGACCTAAAGAAATTAGTAGAGCTGGCCAGGACATGGAAATCCCTTCCCATGGAAAATTTTGTGTTTTTGAAAAAAAAAATTGTCCTGAATTGGGATGTTA